AAGACTTTAGTTCAGCCACATTAGGAGTATTGTGTGCAGTTCTAGTCACCAAATTATAGGAAGACATGGAGTGTTTGGAGACAGTGCCAAAGAGGTCTACCAGGATGTTGCCTGGATTGGAGTGTATCAGATATAAGAAGAGGTTGGACAAACTTGGATTGTTTCTACGTTAAGAGACTGAGGGGGTGACTTGATAAAAATATATAGAACGGCCTATTCTTGTATTGTACTGCTTTACGTTCTAAACATTATTGCTTACTGCAAGGGGAAATGAAAACAGAAGTACAGAGACAATGCTGATTTGATTTTGATCTTAGTGTCACTTATATTTTACAGTAAGAACACAATAAAATACTGTGAAAAGCTTTTATTTGTCACCACAAAACTGCACCATTTTGAATAACTTAAGAATAAAGACAAATAAGAAAAAAAACCATGGTGAATGTAGTGTGCACTCCAGTTTCAAGGGAGAATGTAAATGTGTTGGAAGCAGCTCAGAGAAGGATTATATAGGCCTAATATTTGGAATAGGCAGGCTGTCTTGTGAGGAAAATTTGGACCTGCTACGCTAGTGAAGAAGAATAAGTGGCAGCTTGATTGAAACTTATGATCCTAAGGATTCTTGACAGGGTAAGGATATTTTCTCTGGAACTTACTTTTTTCTGGGAAGGAGTCAGCCACTTCAGATATAGGTAAGGATTTTTATTTTTCCTCAGAGGGTCATGAATCTTTGGAACTCTCCTCTTCAAAAGATGGTAGAAACATTCTTTGAATATTTTTAAGGCACAGGGAGATACATCCTTTGTTCCTCAAGAATCTAAGCTCATCAGGAGAGAGCAGGAATATGGCCTAATCAGGTCGATGCATAATCTTATTGAATATCACAATTGGACAATCACTGCTCCTCGTGGAAATTCAACAATTTACTCACTCGGATTTTTTAAAAAATTCATTCATGGGATGAAGAGATCACTGGCTAAGCCAGCATTTATTACCCATCCCTAATTGCCCAGAGGTCAGTTAACAGTCAATCACATTGCTGTGGGTCTGGCTTCATCGAGTCATAGCCATGCAGCACAGAAACAGGCCCTATGGTCCAACTTGTTCATGCTGACCATAATCCAAACTAAACTAATCCCATCTGCCTGTGCTTGGCCCATATCCTGCCAAGCATTTCTTATTCATGTACTTATCTAAATGTCTTTTAAACATTGTAACTGTACCCACATCCACCACTTTCTCTGGAAGTTCATTCCGCATACAAACCACTGTGTAAAAATGTTGCCCCTCGTGTTTTCAAAAAAATCTTTCTCCTCTCACCTTAAAAATATCCTCCTTGGTCGTGAAATTCCCCATTCGAGGGAAAAGACACCTGCCATTCACTTTATCTACTCCTGTCATGATGTTATAAGCCTCTATAAGGTCAACCCTCAACCTCCTACGCTCCAGTGAAAAAAGTCCCAGCCTATCCTTGTAACTCACACCCTCCATTCCCGGCAACAGAGAACCCTAATCATTATCGCAGTTTTCTTCCCTGAAGGACATTTTTGAACTAGATGGGTTTTTCCTGACAATGGATTCACGGCCATCATTAGACTCTTAATTTCAGATTTTGTTTTATTATTGAATTCAAATTCCACCATCTATCACGGAAGGATTCAAACCCAGCTCCCCAGAACTTTTGAACCAGAGATAGTAGGAACTGCAGATGCTGGAGAATCCGAGACAACAAGGTGCAGGGCTGGATGAACACAGCAGGCCAAGCAGCATCATAGGAGCAGAGAGGCTGTGTTCATCCAGCCCTGCACCTTGTTGTCCCCAGAACTTTACATGGATCACTGAATTAATAATACCACTAGGCCATCACCTCCCCTAAAGATAAATAAATTGTTGTGCTGATTTGCTATCCAAGTACCTTTGCACTTAAATAGTGATCCAAACAAATTACTATACAAGTAATAACTAAATCCTGTAACTGAAGATAATATCACAACAATAGCCTCCATAAATTCATCATTCTTCAGATACAAAAGTAGGAGGCATATGTAAAAGGAAATTAGCTAAATATATTAGGGAATAGAGACAATAAGTTTGAAAAGGTATAATTCAATCTGAAACCATAGTCTATTCTGTAGCATTCATCAGGAATTAAAGTACAGAGATCTATTCTATCTCAGGATGAAATGTTATGAACAGGATTACTTTCAAATAGTGAGGCTTTTAGGACCAATGCATGTCAGAATCTTCTGTGTGACCTGAATTTTAAGAATGTGCAACTGGGGAACTGTGGAATCTGAGAAATAGAAAATTTAGTATAATATACAAACAACAGATCAGGTTCATTCGATTCTCTAACCCAGATAACTGGTAAAATGTAGCAAACATACACCATGTATTAACTAACCACATGGTAACTTCTGACACAGGAACCAAGTCTATAATCACTGCATGATTAGCAAAATGCGGCGGTCTGCAAAAAGGATGAGAAATAGCACACTTACTGTGACATATTCTCAAAGTCTACTCTTCTGTGGATGCACAGATTAATCTTTACTGAAAATCTATCAGTGATGTCGGATGAACAATATTAAAGTCTGGGGCTCTGGGACGCACAAGACATTAACTGGAAATCTTTCAAAGGCAACACAGAGATACAAACATGTATCTCAAAGTGGGAGACCAGGTCGTCAGCTCGATTGAGAATTGACTCTGCTACCACATGAGACAGGCTTTACAGCTTCAGCAATTTACTCAAATTGAAAAGGTCACAATGCCAGATGGGGAGGGGGTGATGATCTAGTGGTATTATTGCTAGACTACTAATCCAGAGACCAGATCATGTCTTGGGGACCTGAGTTCAAATCCCAACTTGGCAGATGGTGGCATTTCAATCCACAAAAAATCTGGAATTAAGAGTCTAATGATGTTTAATGTCAGGGGGGATCCCCAGCTGTTCATTAATGGGTCACTTAGGGAAGGAAATCTGCCATTCTTAACCTAGCCCAGTCTACATGTGACTCCAGACCAGGGCAATGTGGCTGACTCTTAAATGACCTCTGGCCAATTAGGCATGTGCAACAAATGCTGGCCTAGCCAGTAACACCCACATCCCAAGACTGAATAAAGTACTCATCTTTCAAGGATAACACATAGGTCCCACTTTAAAATGAAAGATTTCTCAGAATGCCATGTAGCCGCCTACATGAAGGAGTCCATCACTCTGAGCCTGACAATCTGAGGCAGTCGCCAAGTGTAATCTGTGGAAGGAGTAAAAATCCATGTAAAAACCCGACTGCAGTAAACACCATTAAGCCCTGGCTGCGACCAGGTTTGTGGAGTTACCTCAGCAATGACAGTGGAAGAAAACCATCCTTGATCCTGAGGGTCTGTCTAAGCAGCCTCTTCATTTTATTATTAGGTTACTTTTCACACCATGCCCACTCCTCACTCTCTCTCCCATTCCCCAACCACACACACAACCCAACAGGCAATTTTAGATAAAGAATGTGCTTGGTAAAGTTACGTCCCAGTTAGCTGTTGTGCATCAACTGGAATTACCAACGCCCGCCTGTCAATATCCTGTAGGTAAAAATCACCATAGCTTTACCAAACCAGAGGCTGCTCTCTCAGAGACAGAGAATGACTGGTGGTAGAGGTTAACCCAAGGGTCTTCATGTCACAGGTGAAGGGCAAGGTTGGGAAGGAGAGTCCTTCCTAGGATCCTTAGCTGTAGCGGAAATTTAAACCCACGCTGTTTGGCATCACTCTGTATCACAAACCAGCCATTCAGCCAAATAAGCTAAACCAACACCCAGCACTGACCAGAAGATTAACTGGACTCACCATATAAATACTGGGACTACAACAGCAGGTCAGAGGTGAGGAATAATGTACTCAAGTCAGGAATGTGATGGAATACTTCCCACTTACTGGATGGGTGCAGCTCCAAAAATACTCCAGAAGCTTGATACCATCCAGGACAAAGCAGCCCGCTTGATTGGCACCACGTCCACAAGCATCCACTCCCTCCACCACCAAAGCTCAGTAGTACACACTGCTGCTATCTACAATATACACTGCAGAAATTTACCAAAGATCCTTAGACAGCACATTCCAAACTTGTGACCATGAATGAGTAAATCATCAATATTTGTGGATGAGAATTATATTGTTAGTGGAGATAAGTTAGATCAGAATCTGGCTATATTAGAGAAGGAAATGGGTGCTTTTTCTGCGAAGAGTTTTATTCTCAGAAATTCAGACAGGGCAAACTTAATTTAAATTGACTAAGCAGAGAAAAGACAACTGATTGTCACAGAATCAGGGAACAGTTGATGTTGGTCAACGTCTAAACATGAAGACCCTTGGTAGCTGTTCGGCTGTATATGATAGTACCTTCAAAAATATTAAAAACCCCATGCAGAAACACATGCTTTCCAGTAGATATCATCCTCACAAATAATTATAACAATATGCAATTGATAACATGAACAGAGTAGACAATGGCCTTTTACATGATCACTAGATTATTAATCCAGAGACCCTGTTCTGGCAGCCTGGCTATCCTGCCATGGCAGATGGTGGAATTACAATTCAATTTTAAAAAATAACTGGAATCAAGAGTCTAATGATGACCATGAAACCTCTTGACAGAAAAACCTGTATGATTCACTAATGAACTTCAGGTAAGGAAACCGCCATCCTTACCTGGTCTGGTCGACACGTGACTCCAGGCCCACAGCAATGCAGTCAATTCTTAACTGCCCTCATGGCAAATAAATGCTGGCCAAATTAGTGACACCCACATCCCATGAATGAATTAAAATAAAAACAAATAGATCATTGAAAACCTGAGCTTAAAAATCTCCTATTCCTGAAATGTGAATAATGAGCATTGACTCCAGTAATTTTTAAAACTGTTTTATTCAACTCGTGCAACTTTGTGTAATAAAAGTAATTCACAAATTAGAAATACAAAACAAAATTTGCATAAAGTCCAGAATTTCAAAACATTCATAATTTATCAGACAACAGCCCTTTATAAATTTTCATAATAAAGGAGAGTTAGAGCTAGATTTTCATTTATGGGCCTGTGCCACAGTCATAGTTAAAAACAGCTTATTAAAAATAATCGATTACTATCTGAACTGGCTAAAATAATCAGTACAATATTCTACAGTAAGAAAACAAGCCAGCACTGTAGTAAAACATAACAAAATATGTTTCTGAAGTAATACATCTTAAAAAAAGATGCAAATTTCTTTTCATTTCCCTCTCCTGTCTGGATCTGCCTGTTTCACTGAAGACACTTCAGACTGAACAGTAGTGTGACAGTCAGCAGAAAAGTACAACACTCTTGTCCCAGCTCCTCAGTAGTTTGACTCAGCACTGTCTTGGCAATCTGGCTGTGTGACACCATGCACCCAGCATCACTTCAGGTGAATTTATATGTAAGATTGTTAAGGAAATGTTCTCAGTCGCAGGCAGCATTTTTGAATCAGACCCAGAAGTACAGCACAATATTGAACAACGTACTTTTCAAATGCTTCCAACCCCTTTAGAGTCAGAGGTTTACAGTATGGGATGTTTACAGTCTTGCTTTTGTTCACTTTTATAGCTCCTCTCCAAAATAGGAGCCACTACCTCAGTGATGTCCTACTCAAAGAAATAACCCACAAATTAATGCCACTCAAAACTGCTGCACTGTGATGGTTTTTAATATGTTTTACAGCATAAACACCGAATGCCAGCAGGTTCGTAAATGAAAGATAATAGTATCCTGTAATAATAAACAGCATGCCTAACAGGCTCCTTAATTCCCAATTACATGGTACCCTTTGTTAACAAATAAAATACAACAAGTGATAGCATTCTGTGTCAACAAACAAGCAGCAACACATCAGGTGACAGGGACTTTTACTGAGACAGCATATTTGGTGACAGTCATTACTCAACGTGCATCACTTATCAAGATTTATTGCTTTAAAGCTGTTTTGCAGACACTATCTGGATTGCTTCTCCAAATCAAACAGGGTTGTCTGTCAAGTGTGGTCACGAGCTGTTTGTGAAAACTGATTCTTCCCACTGGGTTTGGCATAACACCATTAGGTGTAGGAGCAGAATTAAGCTACTCAGCCCATCCAGTCTACTCTGTCATTCAATCACGGATGATATGTTTCCCAAACCCATTTCTCCCACCTTCTCCCTGTAACCCTTGATCCTCTTACTAGTCAAGAACTTATCTAGGAGAAAACAGAGTTAATGTTTCGGGTCCGGTGACCCTTCCTCAGAACTGTTCTGAGGAAAGGTCACCGGACCCAAAATGTTAACTCTGTTTTCTCCTTCACAGATGCTGCCAGACCTGCTGAGCTTTTCCAGCAACTTTGTTTTTGTTCCTGATTTACAGCATCCGCAGCTCTTTAGGTTTTTATTTAAGAACTTATCTAGTCTGTCTTAAAGACACTCAATGACTTGGCCTCCAGGGCCCTCTGCGGCAATATGTTCCACAGATTCACCACCACAGATGAAGGAATTCCTCATCTCAGTTCTAAAGGGTCATCTGAGGCTGTGCCCCGGGTCCTAGTTTCTTATACTACTGGAAACATCTAACCAGGCCTCAGTCTTCTGGAGGTTTCAACGAGATCCACCAACTGCCACCACACCACCCCCAAACCCTCTCTACAAAACTTCAAATACAGACCCAGAATCCTCAACCCCCTCCTCATCTGACAAGTTCTTCATTCCCTGGATCATTCTTGTGAACCTCCTCTGGACCACCTCCAACGCCAGCACATCCTTCCTTAGATAGGAGGCCCAAAGCTGCTTGCAATATTCCAAATGCGTCTGACCAGAGCCTTATTTGGCCTTGGAGTAAATTTCTGGTCTTGTGTTCAAGCCACCTGAAATGAATGCTCACAGTGCATTTGCCTTCCTAACTGTCAACTGAACCCTCATGTTAAGCATAAGAGAATCCTGAACTAGGATTCCCAAGTCTTTGTGCTTCAAGATTTTGATACCTCTCCGCATTTAGAAAAATGTCCGTGCCTCTATTCTTCCTTCCAAAGTGCATAACCTCACACTTTCCCACATTGTATTCCATGTGCCACTTATTTGCCCACTTGCCAACTATGTTCAAGTCTTTCTGCAGCCTCGCGTTTCCTCAACAATACCTGCCCGTCCACCTATCTTCGTGACATCTGCAATCTTAACAACAAGGCCCTCAGTTCCTCTGTCCTGATCGTTTATGTATAACATGAATAGCTGTGGCCCCAACACTGATCCCTTCAGAACTCCACTAAACACCAGCAACCATAGTGACAGACTCCTTTATCCCCACTCTCTGCCTTTTGCCAGTCAGCCAATCCTCTATCCACGCCTGTACCTTGCCCCTAACACTCTTATCTTACTTAGCAGCCTCCTGTGCAGCACCTTATCAAAGGCCTTCTGGAAATCCAAATAGATCACATCTACTGGCTCTCCTTTGTCTAACTTGCTCATTACCTCCCCACAGATTTGTCAGGCATGACCGGCCCTTGACAAAGCTGTGCTGACTCAGCCCTATTTTACCTGGAATCCCAAGTATTCCACAACCTCTTCCTTAATAATGGACTCTAAAATCTTACCAATGACCGAGGTCAGGCTAACCAGCTTTGGGTTTGCTGCGGTGCTGCTCTGCTGATTGTTTTGGATGGGAGTGGATGGGTACAGATAGAAATATATCAAATGGTGACAAAATAGTCAACTGTTCTCAGTCATTAACTGCTCAAAACCTACAAGAGTGCCAAGTCCTATATTACTACAGACCAAATGTTCATATTCATCTCAAAACCTGCTCTCAAAACAATTTGCATTAATCCATTTATCACTGTAGTGTTGTTTTACTCTAACCTTGTCAAGATAACTGTTTAAAATAGAAATGTCATCTAAAATCAATAGAATTTTTCTGTAACACATCATTCTGGCGGACTGAGAACGGTAATACTCGAGAAATAGAGCTCTCAACACTAACATACCGATAACAGCATACTGAACAGGCGAGACCCAAAGGTGAGTAATTTAATGTAGATCCTAACTGGCCGACAAGACTTAATCTCCTGTGGCACTGGGAGAATTCTAGCTATTACAAGACAATTACTATTCTCTGTCACAACCATCAGGCAAGGCTTGTTATTCACTCAAGTGAAACGTAACGCTGAAAGCATCTTTGAGGTTCCAAGGTAAGCACAATATCCGCTTAACTATATTGTGTTAGAGGACACAGCACAGTACCTTCCATCCAGAGGTGCACTGGACTGTCCTGAGCTTGAAGAAAATTTATTTGCCAACATGTGTTAAGCTTGAAAATCTGGGACATAGATAGTCAAATGCAGATAAAATTGCCAGGTCCAGTAAGTAGACAAATTACCCGACGTCACTATGTGTATTGTTCAGACACTTCCACTCGCACTGCTGCCTGTAAAACAAAATAACAATCCAAACTAATTTCTGCCTTGCCTAGTAAACAGATGATTTGGTGTCTAGGTTTGGTATCCTTTAGATTTCAATTTCCATTTACAATAAGGGATATCCCTCCCATAGAACAGTGGCCCCGAGCTTTTGCAGCTTTGTTTTGGTTTGCTTGCCAATGAAATTCTCCCCCTCCAATCTATTATGAAGCAGTGAGCTATAGGAAGTCAGCTACTGGTGGGTAACTTGACTGGGCGATCACACCATGCATAAACACAATCGTGGACAGGGGAATATATAATAAAAGCATCAACTTAGAAGATTTGATCATAGATCATAGAATCCCTACAGTGTGGAAACAGGCCCTTCGGCCCAACAAGTCCAGACCGACCCTTAGAACATCCCACCCAGATTCATCCCCCTAACCTAAACATCCCTGAACACTACGGGTAATTTAGCATGGCCAATCCACCTAGCCTGCACATCTTTGGACTGTGGGAGGAAACCGGAGCACCCGGAGGAATCCCACGCAAACACAGGGAGAACGTGCAAACTCCACACAGACAGTCACCCGAAGGTGGAATCGAACCGGGGTCCCTGGCGCTGTGAGGCAGCAGTGCTAACCACTGAGCCACCGTGCCGCCCTTTTGGCAGATTGGAAAAGAAGTCTGGGTACCCAACGAGGTCGTTCTGACAAATCCTTTTAAATAAACAAGCCATGTGCGTCATTGCCCATGGATAGTTGTGAGCTCTGAAAAAGAGTTAAAAAGATCAGCAAAGTTCACTGTGTGACGCTAAAAAAACCGTAGCAACAAGTTTTATCAGGAGTTAGAGCTGGAAATGTTCACACATGAAAGGATATGATTCATAATCAAGCGTTTGCGTCAGGACACCAGTCAAAACAAACTCTGCGTTGTGGACATCTGGAAATATCAGGAGAGCGAGGGAGGGGAAAAAAAACAGAAATTACAAATCAATACAAAAACTAACTGTGCATCTGCAAGTACAAAGGAACCGTCTCAGGCATAGATAGTTACTCACCTATATTTCGGTGAAAATAATCCCGGCATAAGTGAAGGTCATTTTCACATGAGATGAGGATTATCTCAGACAAACTCTTAGGAAAGAGAAAAGGGACTTGTGAGTAGGTGAAGTACTGACTAACATACAGCAAGGTGAAGAAATTTATTGATGTAATAGTCCCAATTCCATTTCCCAGCATTAATTCATTCCCTTTTCCTTTGTTCAAGTGTGTGGGGATGCTGGGAAGAAGCATTTGCATTTCAGATACCAGTTGTCAGCAGAGAGCACTCCTGTGTCAGGCTTAACAGAGCTGTTTAAAATGCCAGTAACTAACGGCAGAAAAAACATAGTCTTCTCCCTGAGCAAGAGCGGCAATTCCACTCCAATTTATTTTTTTTACAGATCGACACATGCTGGTAGCTCACTTACAATGATGAACCTCATTTCGTGTTAGACTGTTACAGCTAGTAGTCTGGGCTACATTTGAACCCAGGAGGTGGAAAGAAGAGAGACTGCAAGTTTATCGCACCATCTAATTTGAATGAACAAAAGAACTGAATGGGGGACCTTAGTTACTTTAACCAGAAGAGAGGTTGTTCTCTGTTTCTGCTCATTTTTGTTTCCGAGGCTGATCAAGGTTCAGGGGCCCAGGAAGCAAATGCCCTAATGGTTTTCATTTTGAAAACAGGGCTAATGTTTGTCTGTTTGCCTGATAGTGAAATCTGGGTTTTCAGCATCCACAACGCTTAAACAGAAGTGCACTTAGATGACCAACCTTGTTCTGTTTATGCTCCATGATTTTGCGATAGGAAGGTTGTTTGGACAGCAGTTTACCACCTGCACACTCAATAATGGCTTTCATCGTTGCAAGACTGGGGCAAATTCCAGGAGTGATGTAGAAATACTTCCCCTGAAAGAAAATAGGCAATAAACAAAAAAACTGAACAGACACAACGGCTACGGCAAAAATTACATCAGAGTGAAGCCACTTGGTCTGTACTAGCTGAAACAAAAAAAAAAGCCACCTAATTTCATTTTCTGAAGAAGGGTCTAGGCCCGAAACTTCAGCTTTCCTGCTCCTCTGATGCTGCTTGGCCTGCTGCGTTCATCCAGCACTACACCTTGTAATCCCACCTAATCTAATCCCACTTTCCAGCATTTGTCTGTAGCCCTACAGGTTACACAAGAACTCTAGAAATAGGAATAGGCCATTCAGCGCTGTCAATCTATGAGATCATGGCTGATTTACCAGAGGACTCATCTCCCCCTTTTTTGTGGCAGCTCTTCATAACTCTTGACATCTCCATATTTAAAATCTAGCTCCTCTTCAAACACCATCAGTGATCTAGCTTCAAGGAGTTAGAGAATTCCACACTACGGATAACTCCAACAGGGTCACATTTAAGTTCTTCTACTATTAACACAATAATAGCTTTTTATAGCACAGGATGTGGCCACTTGACCCACTGTACTTCTGTCTACTTGAAAGAGCTTTGCTCTGAATGCCCTGCAAAAATTTATTTGAGTTGATATAATTAATTCCCAGGTTCTGCCTGACGCTTTACAGCAAGTTTAGACCTTTAGGGAACTTGCTCAAAAGTTCTTTAGTTATGTTAATTCTTGCAGCTTTTAAACTTGCCTTCATTTCAGTGTGAATACATACACAAAGAAGATCAACGATAGCTACATTTCTTTTGCCTTCTTGAAAGGGATTAGTCAAAAGCTCTGCATGGCTGTTATCTGTGCAGATCTTGAGTAAGCCTTATTAACGTGCATTGAAATACAACATGCACAGACATAAACACACACAGGGAAGGTACATGAACCTTGCCTTGAATAAGGGAGCACTCTGCGCCCTCTTAAGTGACTCCTCCAAACTGAAACAGAAGAGAACTTCTGCTTCTGCATCTCTCAGGACAAAATTCTGCTCATCTGCAGGAAAAGAAAAACTACCCATTAGAAAAGACTGCAGCTTTCGCTTTTGGATGTACACATTAAAAACAAATCTACAAGCATTGATTTTAACTCAAACCCCTTGCACAACAGTGTACAGACTGGAGGCTGGCTTCTGGGTAAGATGTTTTAGGGGGTCAGCACACTACATCCATGCACTGATATGACCAATTAGAGGGGCATGAATTTGATTATCCAATCTGCACTGTTCTTGGCTGTCCTGAGACACGAAACAGAGATGGCTAACTCCCCAGTGGGGGATAGCAAGGCAGGAAGAAAGGTGGCCCAGGTGCTGGAAAAAGTCAACAGCTTGGCTAGCTCACCATCAACAGAGGAGCATTGTTAACCTGCCCAGTTAGCGCGGATTCATGATTTCTGATGAGAATACCTAGAGAAGTGGATCGGGATGGAGGTGGATACATGAGTAGATTCAGATGCAACAACTTCAATACATACATTTTAAGTTGTTAGGAGAGTACTTGAAAAGGCAGAAAGCTTGGGGACCACGGGGAGAACTGCACTAAGAGAAAGGTTCAGTGAGCCAGAAAAGGTGAGCCCCACAACGATGGGCCAAATAGCGTCCTGTAACAGTTCTGCCAATCACACCACATCAACAAACAGTATCAGTCACTAGATGAAGAGACCCGGTATTGGAGATGTGCATATTAGTGTTAGGGTTACCTCAGATCTGGAGTAGCCGACGTGCAGTGAGATAACAGAGAGCTCTGAAATCAGTGCCAGTAGCAATTACTGGCACGCTGACTTACCAATAAACTTCTGACTTTTAAAACTCTCCTCTAACCACTCAAGTGTGACGATGTGATTTACGGTGGAGATGGCAGTCAAGAACTTCACTGTACGGGTCACTTTATTTGCCACCAGATGGGTACACTTCTGAGCAGACTCTGCAACTTCACCACCAAGCACATAGAGTTTCTGAAAAAAAGATCGAAGAATGAAGCTTTTTCGTTTTCACAAAAAAAAACCCTGAAGTACGTCAAAAGTGCTAACCATGCACTTACACAGCACGAACAATGTAGTAAAACAGCCAAAGGGGATGAATGCAAAAGTTATCGAATGAAATTTTACAGAGTTCCTTGACCTACTGGGGCAGGGGACCAAAAGCACCACTAAAGAGGGAGGTTCTAGGAAGCGTGTTAAAGAGAAAGCTACTGAGAAACAGAGGGGTTTGAAGGAGAGACCAGCAGGGTTTGGGAATATAATGACTGAAGAGAATGCAGCCAATGGGCAAGGCAATTACAATCAGGGTGATAGGTCATTTCCGAGAGGCACCGAGATCTGGGAATGTGTCGGAGCTGCAGCAGATTACAGAGATAAGGAACCATGAGATTCTGGAGGGATCTGAAAGCGACCAAGAATCTCAAAATTGAGCGGTTGTGTCACTGTGCCTCTGTGTTTGTGTGCGTGTTTTGGGTGGGTGGGTGGGGTGCGCGTGTAGTGACATTGTGGGTCAGCAGGTGCAGAGGCAATGGGTGGCCATGATTAGCTGACAGTTAGATAAAGCAGTGTTGTGGATGAGCTGAGCTTTGCGAAAGGTGGAAAGTGTGAAGCTAACCAGGCTATGCTGGAGGAATCACATCTAGTAGTAACAAAGACATGAAAGAAGGAAATCTTCGATTCTTGAAAAAAGAAATGCATCGTTTAATTACCAATGTGTGTAGATAGCTTGATGACAACCGATATAATGGCCATCAAAATAAAAGGTTCTAACTTCGGTGTATATATATTTGTTTCCTTATTGTCTCTCATGGGCTGTGGACATCACTGCCAGCATTTGTTGCATACCCCCAAATGACCCTGAACTGTGTGGGTTGCTAGGCCACCCAAGAGTCAATCACATTTCTGAGAGAGTCTGGAGTCACATGTAGGTCAGACCAGGTAAGGATAGCAGCAGTCACTGCCCCTGAATCACACAAAGCTAGCACCCGAGTTCAGCACCTAACAGGGGATGGAATGTTGCGTAAAATTAGAGAGGTTTTGCTAAAACTATCCAAAGCACTAGTCAGAGTACAGTCTGCAAACAGTTTTGGTCCCAAATCGAAGGAAAGATATAGTGGCAATGAACTGATCCCAGGTATGGAAAGACTATCCTATAAGGAGCGGTTGAGTCGGTTGGGCCTATAGTCATTGGAATATTTTCAGAAGAATGAGAGGCAACCTTATTGAAGCATATAAAATACATAGAGGACTTGACAGGGTAGATGTGAAGAGGTGTTTCCCCTTGTGGGATAGTCGAGGATAGAGGGCAAAATCTCAGGATAAAGAGTTGCACATTTAAGTTGGAGATGAGGCAGAATTTTTTGCCTCGAAGGGTAGTGAATTTGAGGAATTCTTTGCCACCGAGGGCTGTTAAGGCTGGGTCATGAAATATATTCAGTGCTGAGATAGATTTTTAACCAGTAAGGGAATCAACGGGTTGGGGAATAGGCAGGAAAGTGGAGTTCAGGATTATCAGACCAACCATGACCTCACCAAAAGCCAGGACAGACTTGCTGGGCAGAATGGCCTACTTTTAATCCTACATCTTGCAGGCTTGAAGGACAATAGTGTGTCAGATTTGTTTTTACAACAATTGACTATGGTGACTATGAAACTGAGACTAGTATTATACTTCAGATATTAATTGAACTCAAATCCCACCAGCTGCCTAGGTGAGACTCGAACCCTTGACCCCAGAGTATTAGTTTGGGGTTCTGGATTAGAAGTCCAGTCACAAGTCCAGACCCTCCTTGATGGTTGTTAAGAGATTCTAAAATTACCTTTGTTACAACTTGCCAACATCACAAACTCCCTTCCAAAAACAGTCTATCCTTACCTCAGCATCAATTCCAATGACTGTCTTATCAATGGCCTTGCTTTAAGATGCCTGAATCCATCAATTACACTCCAAACACACCCTACTGAAAGACTCTCAGGGTAGTGGCAAGGAGTGGTTCAAACCTGGCCCAACAGTGCCCTGTTTGAAGACACCAACAATATTTTCAATGACCATGACTGTGACGCCTTAAATTTTTCTTTAGGGTTTCCATTGTCAATAGTTCCATCTTTTACTGGCCTATGGGTGTTGTTTCATCCCCTTGTGGTTGCAGTCTTACTTACATTATCATGGGCCCACAACACCATTTACCACATTCTCCGCTTGTGCCTAACTTTTATGTTCCTTCTATTCCTAAGTGACATAAGGCAACCCTGTGACGTTATCTTCAAGTATGGTGTTGATTTTACCTCTTCATTGTCACCCTAGTTTCAAACCAAAGTCTTGCATAAATCCCATAACACGGAAGGAGGCCATTCAGCCCATATTCTCCAGGAAACTAGGGTGGGCAATAAACACTGGCCATGCCAGCGAGACCCATGTGCCAGAATGAGTGTAAAGTGTTCTCATCACGTGTGTTCCTGCAACAAGTTCACAAGCCAGATTCCACAACAATATCTGGGGGTTCCATTAGTTACTGGATTCCTGATTATTTTTTCAAATTTTCATTTGTCTGGTACTGTATTAGCAGATCATTATGCTAAGTACATAGGGATCACAATTAATCATGGAAATATCTTTTGAAACATGAGGCAGGATATACTCATTTCCCTCTTCAAATGCCTTCATCATACCTACACAACATGCTACGCTATTTCTAATCAATTCCAGTCAGCTCTCCATGTCAGCCCCCATCTCCACTGCATTATCTAGTAGTGGCTTTCACGTATGTCTAAGGTCAAGTGAAACTTGGGGAAAAGTGATGGCTATATGTCAACTGAGAGTAAGTGGGTGAGAAACCAATTGGGTGGTTTTATATAGAGGGAACAAGTAATCAGTGTGGTTGGAGCTGATGGTGAGACAGTTGGAATGAAGCGCTAGCTGAAAGAACAAAAACATATGTCTAGAATCCATTTAACCAACTGTTTAACCTCCGTTTTTTATCACCCTAAATCGGTCTTGTGTTGGCAGAGATCTCCAGAAATAACAATCTGTCATTCCAGAATTCCGAACCAATGGCCCTCCAACCTAACTGACACTGAATAGGGTGAATAGACAAAGTCTTTTCCCTGGGGTGGGGGAGTCCAAAACTTGAGGGCATAGGATTAAAGTGAGAGGGAAAAGATTTTAAAGGGGCAACTTTTCACACAGAGGGTTGTGCGTGTTTGGAATGAGCTGCCAGAAGAAGTGGAGGAGGCTGGTACAATTACAACATTTCAAAGGCATCTGGATGGGTATATGAATAGGAAGAGTTTAGTGGGATATGGGCTAAATGCTGGCAAATGGGACTGGATTAATTTGGGGCATCTGGTCGGCACAGACGAAGGGTCTGTTTCCGTGCTGTATGACTCTGACACTTCAGAACCCACTTCCCTAATCAAATCCATCATTAGATCTTCCAATTCTCCTTGAATCTCTTTTCAACTTCACTGCGACAAAGTATTTAGTTATAGTTATACAGCAGAGGTTGTACTGGTGCAGTCCTACAGGTTACTGTTGACACTGAAGCTTCAGCCATTTATTGCCCCACATCACTCCCTATTTCCAATTCAGGGAGGGACCTCAAGCTGTTTGAGTAAAGGATGGCAATTTCAGCATACCACACATTTAATAGATTGTCAATCAAGCAGAAAGCTGGGTCACCAGTACACCCTGCAGTAAGGGGCATCTGTTGACATGCTGTCCCTAAATTTTCACTACATTGTAAAATTAAGAGACTGGACTAAATCACAGGGCTAGGTTGCCACTATGAATGGCTGCTCAACGGAAAACCCCATTAACTATTACACAGAACAAGTAGTGAGAGATGAGGCACAGGGAAGGGTTACCTTGATATACTGCTGAACCTGGACAGGCTCAAATCCTGTGAACAGCACTGCTGGTGTTGACTCTGGAGGAAGCTTTTTTGACGGTGGTGGCAGATCCTCAATCCTGGTTAGACAGACGACTTGCCGAGTCAGAAACTGTGATTGTATCGACGGGAAAAAAGAACTACACAAAACTACCCAGGTCATCTAGCTCTCCCACCCCGCTGCCGTAACAAGTGCTCTTTTAGTTTTCTCTCTCTTGAAGAAACCGAGCACTGCTACAGTACTATTCCACGGGCAAACTACGAACAACATACCACAAGGGAGCAGGCCATTCGGCCCACTCCGCCATTTAAGATGATCATGGCTGATATAATATTAACCTTAAATCCCCATTCCCACCTAACTCAGGTATCCTTTCAGCCTCCTTTGTTTAACGAGAAAATTAAACTATTGCATTATTAAGGTCGGGGCTGGGGAGGGGCAGCAACAGCCCACTTTGAAACTGTTGGGATTCAATCCCCAGACACGTTGGGTAGGTTGGAGTTTTGCCTCTCTTTAAAACCAGGCGGATGGTTTGCAATGCAATGATGGCAAAGAGTGGGTTCAATTCCTGCACCAGCTAAAGTTACCAAGAAGGCTCCCACCATCTCCGCCTTGCCTGGCGACCCTCAGGTTAAACTGACCAGAGCGGTTGTCTGCCTCTGATGAGGCGGCAGCACTATGGTCGTCTGGAGGTCAGTAGTGGTGCTCCCCACCTCTGGTATTGGTCAGCTGTGGTTTCTGATACAATTGTTGATGACACCAAACTAGAAAAAGTGCAGTAGATGGCGCAGAAAATAGTACGCAACTTTAAGAGGACACAGAAAGGCTGATAAAATGGGTGGCTGATGAAATTCAGTGCAGTAAAAAAAAAGGGAGATGATAAATCCTGGCTGGAATGAGGAGCAATGATATGAGTTAAACAGCAGGAATGTTAAAGTGGATTTAAAGAAAAGACAGATATCAGCATATTTGTGTACAAATCTCAAATTGGCAGGTATCCTGGGCCTCCTGCAGTGCCACAACGATGCTACCCGAAGGTTGCAGGAACAGCAATCATATTCCGCTTGGGAACCCTGCAGCCCAATGGTATCAATGTGGACTTCACAAGCTTCAAAATCTCCCCTCCCCCTACCCCATCACAAAACCAGCCCAGCTCGTCCCCGCCTCCCTAACCTGTTCTTCCTCCCACCTCAAGCCGCACCCCCATCTCCTACCTACTAACCTCATCCCGCCCACTTGACCTGTCCGTCCTCCCTGGACTGACCTATCCCCTCCCTAACTCCCCACCTACACTCACCTTTACTGGCTCCATCCCCGCCTCTTTGACCTCTCTGTCTCCTCTCCACCTATCTTCTCCTCTATCCATCTTCTATCCGCCTCCCCCTCTCTCCCTATTCATTTCAGAATCCCCTTCCCCTCCCCCATTTCTGAAGAAGGGTCTAGGCCCGAAACGTCAGCCTTCCTGCTCCTCTGATGCTGCTTGGCCTGCTGTGTTCATCCAGCTCTGCACCTTGTTATCTGGGACTTATATACTTAATGGTTAGGTCCTGGAAAGTGTTGCTGAACAAAGAGATCTTGGAGTGCAGATTCATAGTTCCTTGAAATGGAGTCGCAGGTAGAGAGGATAGTGAAGAAGGCGTTTGGTATGCTTGCCTTTATTGGTAAGTGCATTGAGTATAGGAGTTGGGAGGTCATGTTGCAGCTGTATAGGACATTGGTTAGGCAACTATTGGAATACTGCACGCAATTTTGGTTTCCCTGCTATAGGAAAGATGTTGTGAAACTTGATATGGTTCAGAAAAGATTTGCAAAGGTGTTGCCAGGGTTGGAGGGTTTGAGTTATGGGAAGAGGCTGTATAGACTGGGACTACTTTCCCTGGAGTGTTAGAGGCTGAGGGGTGACCTTACGGAGGTTTATAAAATCATGAGGGATGTGGATAGGGTAAATAAACATGATCTTTTCCCCAGGGTGGGGGAGTCCAAAACTAGAGGGTGTAGGTTAAGTGAGAGGAGAAAGATTTAAAAGGGACCTAAGGGGCAACTTTTTCACGCAGAGGCTGGTGTGTGTATGGAATGACCTGCTAGAGGAAGTGGTAGAGGAGAGTACAAGAGCAACATTTAAAAGCGAACTGGATGGGTATTTGAAATAGGAAGTGTTCAGAGGGACATGGACCAAATGCTGGCAAATGGAACTAGATTTATTTAGGATATCTGATCGGCATGGACAAGTTGGACCGAAGGGTCTGTTCCTTTGCTGTACATCACTATGACTATGACGTTAGTCGTTTCTTGGTTAAATAAAAAGGATCCTGGGCACCAAAGCAACAAAGTTCTGCTCAACTTAGATAAGACTGGAGCAGCTGAAGCAGTGTGTTCAGTTCTAAGCATCCCTCTTTGGTGAGGACGTGTAGACTTTGTGCAGGATGCAGACGAGATTTACAACAATGAGTGAAGTGGTAGTACAGTAACATAGCAGGAAATGTTGAGATTTGATGGAGGTGCTCAATATTATGAAAGGTTCGAACAGAGTTAATAAAGGGGGACTGCTTCCAATAGATATAGGGTTGGAACCAGAGGGTTAAAGGCAATTGTCAAATGAACCAAAAGTAAGAAGAGGCAAACCTTTCTTAACAAATGAGGTTTTGGGATTTGGAATGCACTGCTCTAGAGGTTGGTGGAAACAGATTCAAAAATGAGGAAACGGGATAAATGTCAAAGGCGAATAACTTGCAGAAAGGAGTTGGGGAGTGGGGAGTGGGGCCAAATGGATCATCCTTGGAAGAGCGGGCACATATTTGATGGGCAGACGTGTCTCCTTCTCTATTAGTTTTATGATTCTAGTCAAGAGTAAGCCAACGCCTGTATCCACCAATTCAACATTAAGAAAATTTATGACAATCCAGTATGCAGCATAGTGATTAGTTAAATTGTAATTTTAAAAAACTGCATTCCGTTAATTTCCAAAAAAAACATTCAAGTTGAGGACAGCAGGAGTTTAAGACGACAATTTGGAGATTTGCATAATACAAGTTGTTTCACATCTGTCGTCTATTTCAGAGGCACTGAACGGACAGTTAAGGAAAACCACAAAAACAAACCAAACACGGACAAAAATACAAGCAACCAAGACTCCAAACCACAGCTGTCTGTCACAAACAGACCTGGATAGCTAGGTGTTGCACTTTCTGGTCAAGACTCTTGAACTTTCTAATTCTCGAACTCAAAGAGAAAAGCCCTAGTCATAGTCACCTTACCTTGCTCTTTTTACAGGAGGTGGAACGTTATATTCATTTTGTTTCTGTTTAGTCTGGAGACGTACATTCTGTAAGATAAAAGACAGACCACCAAGACACCTTCAGCAGGTTTACACAGGAATGAAACAGATCACTCAGCTCAACAGAATCTACGCCAGCGTTGATGTTCCACAGAAATCGTCTCATCATTCTTTATTTAATAGCCAATGTCCCTGACAGTGCCTTTGATTTATTTTCCCCTTTGTACACATCCAGTTTCCTCAAAGAGGATCTAAACAACTGGTCTCATCTACTCCCCGAGATAGCAAGTTAACACATTCTCACCATGGTCTGGCTAAAGAAATCTCTCCCGAACCCCTTTAATTGGGCCATACTAGGTATATTGCGTACAGTTCTGGTCACCACACTACCAGAAGGATGTGGATGATTTGGAAAGGGTACAGAAAAAGGTTTACCAGGATGTTGCCTGATATGGGGGATTTTAGCTATGAAGAAAGGTTGGATAGACTGGGTTTGTTTACACTGGAATGCAGGAGATTGAGGGGGAGATCTGACAGAAGTTGAAATGGCATGGATAGAGTGGAAAATATGAGGATATTTCCAAGGGTGGTGGTGGTGGAAAGGTGCACAAAGGTTCAACGTGCTGGGTGGGGGGGGGGTTTGAATGAGAATTACATGGCACACAAAGGGTGGCGAGTGCCTGGAACGCGCTGCCAGAGGCGGTGGTGGAACTTAACACAATAGCAGCATTAAAGCAGCACCTGGACGAATACGTGAGTAGGAAGGGAACTGAGGGATACGGATCCTGTAACTGAAGACAGTTTTAGTAATGGAAGGGCAAAATGCGTCAGGGCAGGCTTGGAGGGCGGAAGTGCCTATTCCTGTGCTGTACTGTTCTTTGTTCTTTCAGATTTATTACAGGCTATTTTCCATTTATGGCCCTAACTCTCCACTGCAATGAAAACATCTGTTCTATAGGTCTACTTTACAAACAGCTCTCCAAGATTGAGAGCTGTGGGCATTGCTAGCTGGGCCAGCGTTTATTGTCTGTCCTTAGTTGCCCTGGAGAAGCAGCTTCAGTTACCACAGTGCATGTGCTGTGGGTAGACCCACAATGCTCTCCAGGAGGGAATTTCAAAGTGAAATCTGTCCACTTGTTTACTAAAAAGTTCCCAATGTACAGTGCAATTTACTACACATTGTTCTGACTCAAAACATTAAATTTGCTTTCCTCACCACCGACCTGCTGACTTTCTTCAGCACTTTCTGCTTTACTTTTACATTTCCAACATCTGCAGTCTTTACTTTCATTTCTGTTGCCTCACTTTATAGGTGAGGTGATAGTATAGTGATAATGCCATTAGGCTATCAACACAGAAACCCAGGTAATGTTCTGGAGATCTGAGTTCAAATCAGATGATGGAATTTGAATTCAATTTTTAAAAATCTGGAATTAAGAGTCTAATGCTGATCATGAAACCATTGGCAATATCAGGGGGGATAAAACCCCATCTGGTTCACGAATATCATTTAGGGATGGAAATCTGCCAAACTGATCTGATCTGGACTACATGTGACTCCAGATCCACAGGAATGTGGCTGACTCTCAATTGCTTTCATGGTAATTATACGCAATAAATACTGGTCTGGCCACATCCTGTCTTATTTTATCAAGGAATAGTGCAATTTAAACAAGCTGGTTATAGGCACCATTGGAGCAGGGAATTAGTTTGGAACGCAAGAACCCCTCAGAAATGCTGCCAAAAGTCACCATAGGTTTGGCACAAAGCTACTCACTGGCACTCAGTTTGGGTTACGCAAGGGTCACTTGGCTCCTGACCCCATGACAGCCTGGTATAAAAATAGACAAAAAGGCTAAGAGGTGAGAGTGACTCCTCTTGATGTGGAAGCTGCATGTGGCATTAGGGAGCTCTGAAACAACTGGAGTCAATGGGAATCGGGGGAAACACGCTGCTGACTGAAGCAATACCGAGCAGAGTGTGAAACAATGGTGGCTGTTGGGACATCCATCACCTCAGCCTCAGGTGGTCATCAGGACAGGGTCCTCAGCTGAACCATCTTCAGCTCTTTCAGTAACAACCTTCTCTTCATTGTAAGTTCAGAGTGGGGCTGGTTACTGACGACAGCACAACAGACTCAACAGTTTCCTGTGTCAGAGGACTCCACAAGCTCACCACTCTCTGCGTGAAGAAATTCATCCTCGTCTCAGCCTGAAAAGGCTTTTCCCTGATCCTTAGGCTGTGAACCCTCTAGATTCCCTGGTCACTAGGAACATCCTTCTGGCATCTATTCTGTTAGAATGCTTTAGGTTTCTATGAGATATCTCCAGATATTCCCAATGCTGGTAGTAAGGCTAACCGACTTAGTCTCTCCCTATACGTCAGTTCTGCCATCCCAGGAATCCGTTTCGGCAAACTTTCTTTGCACTCCCTCAAAACCCACAACATCGTTCCTCAGAGAGGGAGATCACAACTACATACTCGGAATTTGAATTCCACCAGCTGCCATGGTAGGACTTCAGCCCACGCTCAGTGCATTAGTCTGGGCCTCTGGATTACACGCGTAATTTTTATCATTATGCCACCATATTCTCTTACGATAAATGCAAATGCTTTCTTTTGCCAAGGTACTTCGAGGTACATCATCTGCACTGGAATAATAAACTTGCCTCGGTTTGATTGAAGCAAACTACTCAATCTCCCACAGAGCTGCATATGCATGGCTTTTAGATATAGTCCGGGGAAAAGAACAAAAATCAGGAGAGGGGGAGAAAGGAAAAACAGTATGTAGATGCAGTCAGCACTTGAAATGAAGGGTAATTAAATGCAATCATACCATCAACAGCTCTGTTGAGATCTTCAGTGGCATCCGCCAAGCAGCTAAAAACAGAAATGAAAAGAATTTAACCAAATTATTACATTTTTGTAGAAAATATTGCATGCAGTTCTGGTCGCCACACTACCAGAAAGACACAGATGCTTTGGAGAGGGTGCAGAGAAGGTTAACCAGGATGTTGCCCTGTCTGGAGGGTTTTAGTTATGAGGAGAGTTTGGATAAACTCGGATTGTTTTCACTGGAAAGACAGAGGCTGGGGGGAAACCTGATAGAGGTCTACAGAATTATGAGGGGCGTGGATAGGGTGGATAGTCAGAGGTTCTTTTTTTCCCTCTCCCAGGGTGGAAAGGTCAACTACAAGAGGGCACAGGTTCAAGGTGAAATGTTTAGGGAGAAGTGTGGGGAAAAGTTTTCACACAGAGGGTGGTGGATGCCTGGAACACACTGCCAGTGGAATGGTGGAAGAAGGCACATTGGCAATGTTTAAGGCACAGGAATAGGAGGCGAACGCAAAGATAGAAATTGCATACGGGCAATAAGTAGCGGGTCTAAATAAGGACTAGGAATTGATGCAGGCTTGGTAGGCTGAAGGGCCTGTTCCTGCGCTGTACAGTTCTATATTCTTCTTTAAACTTAACATTCACACCTCTACCTTTTGACAATAGAAATTGACTGTGCGCAAGCCAATGGTACTATACTGAAACACAAAGCTGTTGGAAAAATAGTCCAATCAATGATTCAATTATATTTTCAATCTCAGTTTTCATTTGGATTGTAGCCCTGTTGTATACAACTAACACTGTTCTCCGTTAATATTTTTACAGGAAGAATGGACAGAGGATGGATAACTTAATACCCTTTCAAAAATAAGAACGACATCTTACAGATATTTAACTACCTTTGAATATAGGAATAGCTTTGGCACAAAGGATAGATGTCATTGCACACTACTTGAGCACTGGTGATGCTTTTAGAAGTTAGGGTTTAACTAATTTTGTCTGAAGTAGGAGTAGCAAATTTAATGTTTTGATTAAGAAGCTGAGCTTTGTCAACACATGCTACAGCAAAACCGTAGAAAATGGAAATCAGAACAAAGCGAAAAGTTCTGGAAATGCACTGGGTGTTGGTCAGTGTTCAATACATGGGCTTAGTTTACGAACTGATGAGGATTTCTATGTGAAGAATAACAAGGTAAGTCCACTGGAGAGGCAGATACAACAGAGGCATTGAAGTGGCTTTTAGATAAGCACATAAATAATTAAGGAATGGAGGGATAGGGACCATGGGCAGGCAGACAGGATTAGTTTAACGTGGCCTCTTGTTTGGCACAACATGGTGGGCCGAAAGGGCCATTCCTTTGCTGTACTGTTCTATGAGTGATGGTGAAAATTCAACATGGTGACTTGTTGGGATTTCAGCTTGGCTGAGGGATCCAGACAAACCTCTCATCTTTTGCAGTTTAAAAAAACCCAATATGGACTTTACACCTGAAAACTCGCATACGATACCTAAAAGATTTGAAACCAGTTGTGGATTGGGTGCAAGAGGGTCCTGGAGGTTGAACACTGTGTAGCGACTGTGCTGAATCTGTCGCAATGCGTCGAAGTTTCCCAGGAGAATGTCACAGAGCCACTGAGCATTCACACAAGGTATCCTCCACTCCTTCGCCTTCTCGTATTTCAATCCACACGGTCTGTTCTCAAGACAAGCCACCAGGAAAGTAGAGTCAGTTCACTTTCAAAACAAGCACCAAGAGGAGGTCTCACCATACTGTACCCCACCACAACCCCCACCCTCCCACTTCACAACTTACACTGAGTCAGTACCTGCACAAACAGGTCTATGTAAAACTTTAAACATTGTCTCCAAGTCACCAACATGCAACAGTAGAGATAATATAAGGTAGAGGTGGAGGTTAGATAGACCTTAGGTTTAGGGTAAAAGTTCAGCACATCATGGATCGAGGGGCCTGTACTGTGCTGTACAGTTCTATGTTCTAGTAGACTTAGTGAGCACAAATTCTCAGTCGTGTCTATTACATGAGGCTTAATGATGTTTCGGGGAGATTTTGGGTGAAAACAATCATTTTAGGATTTCAATCTCTTTTTTGTGAAGCTGTCCGACAATCAGTGAAAACAAATTCAACTTGTTCGCCAGTGTCCGTTGGGATGAGGAACCTGCTGTCCTCACCACTGGCACAGCCAAAACACCAGAAAGGTCTGGTGACGAGAAGACTGTGTCGAATCCAGACACTACAGCTCAGTACCTGGGAGAACTTCCTCACTTGAGAACTGCCTCAATATCATGATTAAGAGCCTGATTCAGAAATTTTCAGGAAGCAGATCATATAAATATACAATACAGAAGAGGCCCTTCAGCCCATCGAGTCTGTACCACCAAAAATACACTACTTTCACTGGTCCCATTTTCCCACACTAGGCCCAAAGCCTTGAATGTCAAAACAGTTCAAGTGCTCATCCAAATACTTTTTAAAGGTCATGATGTTTCCCGATTCCACTACCCTCACAGGCACTGCATTCCAGACTCTCTGGGTGGAGAAGGGTTTTCTTTTGTCCCCACTAAATCTCCCGCCTTTCATTTTATATTATACTCCTTTGTTAGAGACCCTTTGACTAAGGGGAAAACAGCTGCTTTCTATTCACCCAGTCCATGCCCCTCATTATCTAACACACCTCTATATACTCCAGCCTCTTCATAGCTGTAATATTCCATCCCAGGCAATATCCTGGTTTGGTGTCTGTCTTGCAGACTTGCGAAACAGAAATAAGTCCACCACACTACAGTGAGCTATTGGCATGCTGGGTGCTTTTGGAAATAAATAATTTTTCTAATATTGTCCTATATAACAGGCAACTTGAATTTCTTACTGTTGCCCTTGCATGTAATTGGTTTGCACCAGCTACAGCATTATCAGAGATTACTTTAACGGGTAACCTTACAACAGTCGCTGACAGTATATTCTACCTGTCAGCTTGTTGATGGACGTGTCCCGATTTCCATCACTCTGATTACATGGCTGCCTGGACACAAAGTTCAAGTCTGTAAAACCTACCTCTTTGGCCACTTTTTTGGTCACTTGTCACTGATTGCACTCCATCTCACGCAATGTTGAATGTTCTTTGATCGTGCTGCTGTATCATGCCTGCCATGGGCTAGTTAACTGTTAAAAGTTGCTGTATAAATGCACTTGTTGTCATACAAAGACAACCTTGGTTTTTTTTTTTGATTGGTAGATTGGTGCACCTTTAAACAATCAAATTCAACAGAACATTTCCACAGCCGGTATTTCTGTTTTTCCACCAAAGTGCATAACCTTACATTACCCTACATTGTACTCTGTCTGCCAAATTTTTTGCCTACTCTGTTAGCGTCTTCAAATCCCCTTGAAGGGAACTACCACTTCATAGTTTCATGTCATCTGCAAATGTGGATTTATAACATTTAACCCCTACATCCAAAGGATTGTGAACCACTATGTTCAGAGCACTGATCCATGCAGTATTCCCTTGTCAAAGCTTACGTACCTGATGTGATGCATTTAATCCATCTGTTTTCTGTCCATTAACCAGTCTGCAATTCAATGCCAGTATGTTCCCTCTTAATCTGATGTGTTCTACCTTTGTTAACCAAATGTCTTGTGAGTGACCTTATTATTGTTAGCCTTCTGAAAAGGCTCATATACACCAATTACCCCTCATCTATTCTTCTGGCTGCATTCTCAAATCTCCAGATGTGTCAAATGTGATTTCTATTCCATAAGTCCATGTTTAATCTGTCCAATGATCGCATTGTTATTATCGATTCTTATATTTTTCCTCTGACTGATGTTAAGCTAATATGTCTGTAGTTTCCCCAGGATCTCCCTCTTTCTTTCCTTAAATCATGAGTTTGCATTTGTCATGTTCCAAATTGCAGAAAATCCAGAATCCAAACTTTCAAAGATGCTCACTGATATATTGACTACCTTTTCAGCAGCTTTTCAATGCTCTGGGACATCGATCCATGGGGAGGTAGCCAACTGGATACAAAATTAGCTTGAAGGTAAGAGACAGAGGATAGTGGTAGAGGGTTGCCTTTTGGACAGGAGGTCTGTGACCAGCAGTGTTCCACAGGGATCAGTTCTGGGTTCACTTTTGTTTGTCATTTATATAAATTATTTGGATGAGAATACAGGAGGCATGGTTAATAAGTTTGCAGATGGCACAAAAATTGGTGGTATGGTGAATAGTGAAGAAGTTTATTTAAGACTACAAAGAGATCTTGATCAATTGGGTCAATGGGCTGAGGCGTGGCAGATGGAGTTTAATTTGGATAAATGTGAGGTATTGCACTTTGGTAAAACAAACAGGGGCAGGACTTATACAATTAATGGTAGGGCACTGGGCAGTGCTGACTAACAGAGAGACCTAGGGGTTCAGGTGCATACTTCTTTTATCAACCTGCGATGCAAATATCAATGTGGTTAAGTAGGCATTTAGCACACTTGCCTTCATTGTTCAGACCTTTGAGTATATGAGTTGGGATATCATGTTGAGGTTGTATAGGATGTTAGTGAGGTCTCTTCTGGAGTACTGCGTGCAGTTCTGGTCACCCTGCTATAGGAAGGATATTATTAAATTGGAGGGGGTTCGAAAAAGATTTACCAGGATATTACCAGAATAAAGAGTTTGAGTTATAAAAATAGGCCGGATAGATCGGGACTTTTTTCACTGGAGCGTAGGAGGCTGAGGGGTGACCTTATAGCAGTTTATAAAATCATGAGGGGTTTAGATAAGGTGATTGGCAGGTGTTTTTTCCCTAGGGTGGGGGATTTCAGACTAGGGGACAGATTTTTTAATGCGACAGGAGAAAGATTTAAAAGGGACCTGAGGGGTAACTTTTTCACGCAGAGGGTAGTGTGTGTGATGGAACGAGCTACCCAAGAAAGTGATGATGGTGGGTACAATTACAACATTTAAAGGGCATCTGGATGGGTACATGAATAGGAAGGGTTTAAGGATATGGGTCAAATGCTGGCAAATGGAACTAGGTCAGATTGGAAAGTCTGATCAGCACAAACAAGTTGGACCAAGGGTCTACTTCTGTGCTGTATGACCCTTGCGTAATGTACCTCTCTTGACTAGGACACTTTTTCAGCAAGTTTTAAAACATTTTGTTAATTTGCAGCAAGATAACTCTACACAAACCTCGGAACCAAATGTTAATGAAGCCTGAAGTCACTCAGTGAAATCTTGTGTTGTATGCACGTATGCAGTTATAGCATAAAAGGTAACTATAAAATCATTGACAACAGTAGCAATCTGGGAAGAAATATTCCAGGCTGGTTGTTTATCCATTAGTGAGACAGCAGATGGTCTTGAACAGTTGGCAGTTCTGCTTGCGAGCAACCCATGGCAGACAGCAACTGACATCTTTAGAAACAAGGATCTTCTTCATTTAGAAGGAGAATGCACTGGTGTGTCATTGGAGTAATTCTAAGCATTACATACAGCTTGAATGCAAAATTAGCTGCAGTACTTATCCTATTTTTTAGCCAAAACATACATCTATATACGGTGTCCTATTAAAAATGACCTTCATGTGTCGGCTTATTCCCGCCCCTCCTCCACCATTATCACCAACAACCGTGAAAATATAGCATGGGGGTGTACTGCATGGAAACAGACCCTTCAGTTCAACTCGTCCATGCCGACCAGATATTCTACATTAATCTCGTCCCATTTGCCAGCATTTGGCACTTATCTCTCTAAACCCTTCGTATTCATGCACCCATCCAGATGCCTTTTAAATGTTGTAACTATACCAGTCTCCACCACCTCCTCTGGCAGCTCATTCCATACACGCACCACCCTCTGCGTGAAAACGTTGCCCCTTAGCTCCCTTTTCAATCTTTTCTCTCGCACCTTAAAACTACGCCCTCTGGTTTTGGACTCCCCCACCCTGGGGAAAGGACCTTGCCTATTTACCTTATCCATGCCCCTCATGATTTTATGAACCTTGGTAAGGTTACCCCTCAGCCACCAACACTCCAGGGAAAACAGCCCCAGCCTGCATCTTAGAGGCCCAGCTCAGCAAGATGGCGGCAAGGTAAGACACTCCACTCTGCTCACCGGTTCCCTTTCCTTTTCCTTTCTTTTATCTTCTTCTTCTCTTCTCTCTCCTCTCTGTAGTAATTCGAGCAACATTGGTGGTGACAGCTGCCTAGCAATTGCAGTAGTGCCTGCACCATTGTGAAGATGGGACTTGGGACTCTGATCTGGACTTTTCTTTTTCTTGCTTACCTTTTGGCTCTGTTAAATCTTTTAATTCTGGTTTTTGTAACCAAGTGGGTGCCAGTCAATGGCGACTTTGTGCACCTTTTGCTGTACTTATGTATTTCTACACTCAGTAGATGTGATAACTAAATAAATCATTCTACTCAGCCTATCCCTATCGCTCAGACCCTCCAACCCTGGCAACATCCTTGTAAGTCTTTTCCGAATCCTTTCAAGCTTCCCTACATCCTTCCTATAAGAGGGAGACCAGAACTGACCACAGTATGCCAAAAGTGGCCTAACCAATGTCCTGTACAGCCACAACACGACCTGCCAACTCCTATACTCAATGCACTGTCCAATAAAGGCAAGCGTACCAAATGTCTTCTTCACTACCCCGACTACCTGGGACTCCACTTTCAAGGAACTATGAACCTACACTTCAAGGTCTCTTTGCTCAGCAACACACCTTATCATTAAGTATCTAAGCCCTGCCCTGATGCTCCAACACAAGGGACAGGGATCCTTCATTGCAAAATGTTCCATGTTTGCACGACAGCAGTAAATGCAGAAGTGTTTCCAACCATCTGCTATTCTTGAAGCGTTCTGTTTTTGCTCTAACACACTTGTCTTCACAGTATGCTATTCCTTTCTGAAGCTGCAGAGAATGGTAGCTGTAGCAATGATGCAAAATGCAACATCATGAAGTCTCTTCCCCCTTCCAAGGGATAGAGCAGCTGTGGACCTTATTTGGAAAAGAGGAGATGCAAGTCCTATTTGCAGCAAGCCCCTTCGCTCTGCTTGCAGTCATGAGCCATTTCCTAATTACAGAGACCTGCTCACCAGTTGCCTGTGCTCACTGACCAATACTGCCCAAGAAACTTTCTAATCACTGAATCTCTCCATGCTCCCTACTTTTGTCACCTCCTCCAACCTTGCAATGATTCAAGGCCTCAGCTTTCCTGAGATGCTGGCCTCTTGCACACCCCTGATTTTAATGACTAAACTAAACAACAAAAAAAAAAAAATCACAAAACTGCAGGTGCTGAAAATCAGAAACAGAAATGGTTGGAAAAACTCAGCAGGTCTGGCAGCATCTGTGGAGAGAAAACAGGGTCAACGTTTCGACCCTTCTTCAGAACCCCCTGTGGCTGCACAAGCAATTGCTTGGGACTGAAGCTCTGGAATTCTCTCACCAACTCACTGTTACAAGACACTCCTTAAGAGTTACTCACTCTTCTGTTGGAGGCTTGGTTTACTTGCACCCCTTCTAGTGGAATCACATCCTTCCTATAATGTGGTGATGAACAGAACTGCACTCAGTGCTCCACTGTGGTCTAACCAAAGTCCGGCACAGCTCCAACATGACCTCCCTGCTCTTATAACCTATGCCATGACTGATAAAGGCAAGCATCTCATTGCCTTCTTAACTATCCTATTATCCTGCCCTGTCACCTTCAGGGATCTGTGGACAAGTATGCCAAGATCCCTTTTTTTTTGAGCTTCTGAGTATCTTTCTATTCATTAAGTACCGCCTTGTCTTGTTCCTCCTCACATTTATCAGGGTTAAATTCCATCCACCAGTGAGCTGGCCATCTGACCAATCCATTTATGTCGGACATAGGAATGGGATGGTCATGAATAAACCATGTAGAGAACTCAGAATGTGTACCATTGTGTATTAGCATAATTTGGAAATTGGATTTCAAAGTAGAGATAAAATAGGTTCTGTGAAGTTAACTTTGTTTTAAAATGTCAAAAATGTATTTTGAACAGTGAACTAAAGAAATCATTTTGAAAGAAGGTACGCTATTCAAGTTGCTCACAGGATACCTGTGACATTCACTGAGGAAGTTGAAGTTTTGACATGCACAAAAGCCCATAGGGGTCTCTGGTGGATTTGAGTTCAGTTCAGAATCAGATTTCAGTTCAGAAGATTCAAATTTCAGTACAGAAAAGTTTAGTCATATCAGAGGGGTAGTACCAGTTTAAAAACCTCCAAACTGAAAGAGTTTATGGTAAGAGTTTGCATTGAGGGTTTTTAAGCTGTCAAAACTAAGCAAAAATTGAGGCCATTGGACATGGAGAGAGATTTCCAGGCAATCAAAACTAGAACAGGTCAGCAAAGTAATAAATTGAAGACTTACGACCAGAGTAACATTTCACTGGGATTGAGGATCTCTGAAGGATGTTGCTGGGAAAAATGGTTTATACTTTGTTTTGCCGTTTGTCTTAGTATCATTTTGAACTGTCATACAAACAGGTTGTTTTTCTCCTGTAATAAACTTGTTCATTCTTTTGTTGAAGAATACTACCAATCTTGTATGAATAAATTCAATGACTACCCAAGCGCAAAATTTAAACTCATGATCTATGAAACCAGGTTTCACTCTGGGATCAGACTTACCCCATACTACGATTAGCTGAGGTCATAACAGAATAAAGTTCTTTACCCAAAGTGTGATGAGAATGTGGGGCTCGATTCAACATGAAGGTTGAAATAAATAGCACAGATTGGAAGGAACTGGACAAGCATACAAAGTAGGCAAGGAACAGAAGATGACAAATGACAAATTCAGATAAGGAAAGGTGGAAGCTAGAATGCTTTAATATGGACTGGTTGGGTTGAAATGCCCCATTTGTGTGCCATATACCTCGAGTAAGGTTTCTGCTTGCTAACTCTTCCCTGGATTTTAAAATTCTGTACAAAAAGAAACAAATGTGTCTCAGTTTAGAGCTCGACAAAGTATCAAGTGACTAAAGAACAAGGCCCATTATAAAAACATACCAAGCTAGCACAGATCCAAAGAAAATGCTCAAAATCTGAATCAATTTTACCACCAAAAAGCTCGGAACAACGAGGTGCATGGACAAAACCTCTAACATAAATCAGAATCAAATACACAGTGCTCACCACCACCATCAATACCAAGTTTTCTTATTAAGGTTCCAAACTTCCAGGCAAGTGGGACTTCAGTTACACAGAGACTGTGGAAGTAGGGGTCATCCTACTTTACGCAGGTCAGAGAATGTCTAAAGGAGATTTCATGGAGAAGTTTTCAAAAACACAGTAGTATTGATACTTCCTCCTTATCTGCTCTTTACAATATCAAGGTTGGTCAGCAGAGGTCATAGATTTTAAAAAAGCAGGAACAAGATGAAGAAAGGTAAAAACAAAGGGTTATGATCTGGAAGACTTATGATCTATAAAGTACAGCCTGAAAAGGTTGCAGGGACAGACCGAATAACAACTTTTAAGATGTTAAATACCTGAAGGAGGAAAGAAAAACTTTGCAAAGCTGAAGGTTACGTGAAGTTGCATGGATCCATTTGAATTGGTCATCCAAAATGACTAACACAGGTACAACAGGCCAAATGGCCTTATCCTGTTATGTACCCATTCAATGAAAACCTTAAGCGAAAAGCACTTTTATTTTAGCACTCTGACCGCATTGCATTCTGCCTCATTAGCTCTATCACTGCCACTTAGAATTATCCCCCATTAACTCCCTGCTCTCTCCTCACCCACTCCCTCAACTGCTCCAGCCCACAAACACTCGAGAGTTATGACAGGTAGTCTTTGGAAAAAAGACAGGGAATCATGATGAACCGTAATTACGGTAAGTATACCTTTGACTACCAATTATTTCACTCAAGAAAGCAGTTGACCATCATTGCTCCCAACAGTAGCAGACCTTCAGGCATGAAAACCGCAATAATTCACTCCAGGTGACCTTGATACTCTCAGTAAAAGGATTCTGCATATAACTGCTCACCGTCGTTTTAAAGGAGTACTTAACCAAACACATTCCAAGCCAATGGGATGCCATAACTTAAACTTGGCAGACAGCACATCAGAATTAAACTAGCGAACATCTTTTTTTTTGCTGTGACAAACACTATCCATCACTAACAATCACTACCATTTCACATTAACAATCTAGAACTTACTCTTTGCAGATGAGGACGGTGTTGCTACGACAGAGGTATCCTGTGTACTTGGCCCCTGCTAAATAACCCATCAGCTTCAAGTCAGCTCGATCGTTGTCCATGAATCCAGTGACAGAAATCATCTGCAAAGTCACAGGAAGCAACTCAGTTTTGTTTTTCCAGACATGATCCATCAAAGCAGCTTTCATCCATGGTCAGCAGAGAGAAGGGAAGAAAAAGACTGCACAAATAAGTAGGAAGGCAATATTTTTCATGATGCCAGCTTATTTAAGACACAGCATCTTTCTGATCCTCAGACACAATGACACTATACACCACAGAATCCCCTCCCTGGTTTTTTCAGTACAGCATTGAGAAATTACCAGTCAAATTGAGGATTCATTTCTTAATCTGTCCAATACAATGGTAAACCTCCCTCTGGGTTGTGTATATCCCACTCATTAGCCTGGTCACTGCCAATCTGTGAAGTGAAACTGCACACCAAAGTAAAAAATTAGAAGCTGTTATTGCATCGGAGAGCTGGTGAGGCCCTGTTAGAAACCCTTTGAGCAGCTTTAATTTTGGCTACCCTCACCTTCGACAAGCACTATTCGATTTTGCAGCTCAAGGACCTGGAAGTTAGTTATTGATTGAGACACTCCATCAAAGTTTTGATTTCCAAAGCTTGAATATGCTCCAGCTCCTTAAAAGGTTGAGCGGAACATAACCAATCAGTAAAGGGATCAAGGGTTACAGGGGATAAGGCTGAAAAATGGAGATTTGGATCATCAGATCAGCCACGCTCTCACTGAAAGGCAGGGAGAACTCAATGGGCTGAATGGCCTGCTTCAGCTCTAATGTTTTGTGACAGAGGGCCAGCTAGTTATCTTACAGCACGTGTATATTGTTTTGCAGATTTAGTAGCAGCATGTGGAGGCTCCTTGAGCTCTTTTACAGCCTTCACAGCCCCTACCGCAGCGAGGAGATCACCACAAACACAGAGCTCCTTGATATCGTGATTAAGCTTGTTGAGCTATGTCAGTTTGAGAGGGTCCAGACTGAATGGAGAGAAGATTATACAAGCGGCAATGCAAAAACTGGCCCATTGGTCAATAGGGGTGACTCCTGGTCCAGGACATGATTACTGTCTGCTCCCGCAACTACTCCCAAAACTGAGGAACAATGAGACTATCTCTCGCTGTCTCTCAGGACATCACTGAATGCGTTGGCAAGAATAATAAGCCATGCATAAAGCACAATCTTCCTCGGGTTCAACACAACCTCCCAACATGACAGCTATTACTTCAGCCAATTGAACTTGTCAGTGGTAATGCTTCACCAGGTCCTGTAGGTTTCATTAGCTTCTGATTCAGGATCCCTCTGTACAGTAATTACTTTCAAAAGGGAATAGATGAAATGAATAGTTTAAAAAATTTAAATAACTAAATCAATTCTAGACACAGGCTCTGTCGCACCTTGATTCTATTATGGCCATCTGTCATATATTAAACTGTCAAGCGGGTCTTTGAGTAATAGCTGTTCCTCTGACAATGCGTCGAAAAGGGCAGTAAAATGCAAGCAATCTTCAGTGATAAAAATCAGGATTCAAGAACAGTTTAATAACACAATAAATTCAGAACACAGTGACAGCACCCATAATTTTCAGAGGACAGTGGGGCAAATATCTACCTTATTAACCATTGTTAAAAATTAAATCAAAATAAATCAATTCACTATTACAGAGCTAGGTGCAAGTTACCGATGATGCAATGGTTTTTGTGAAGATTTTCCTGAATTGTTGGTGAGACTTGAGCAACATTTATATTAGTTTCACTTCAAGTTAGCGCTTCTAAGCCAGTGTTTCTAAGAACTCATTTGGTAGCTCTCTCATTTTGAATCACAGGGTTCCAGGATCAAATCCCACTCCAGGACCCTCGGTACAAAATTCCAGGTTGCCATCCAGGGTAGCATCCAAGGTATGCTGCACCGTCAAGGTGTCAACTTTTGGATGAATCATTAAACGAAGGATCAAGGACGTCACCAGGGTTGGAGGGTTTGAGCTATAAGGACAGGCTGGATAGGCCGGGGCAATCTTCCCTGGGAGAGTAGGAAACTGAGGGGTGACCTTATAGAGGTTTATAAAATCATGAGGGGCACGGATAGGGTGAATAGACAAGGTCTTTTCCTCCAGGTAAGGGTGTCCAATACTAGAGGGCATAGGTTTAAGGTGCGAGGAGAAATATTGAAAAGGGATCCAACAGGAAACATTTTCACGCAGAGGGTGGTGTGTGTATGGAATGAGCTGCCAGAGGAAGTGGTGGAGGCTGGTACAATTACGACATTTAAAAGGCATCTGAATGGTTACATGAAAAGGAAGGGTTTAAGAGGGATATGGGCCAAATGCCGGCAAACGCAACAGGATTAATTTAGGATATCTGGTCGGCATGGATGAGTTGGACTGAAAGGTCTGTTTCAGCGCTGTAAAAGTCTATGACCTGTTTGGGTGGACACAGATGATCTCATTGCACTATTCTGAACAAGGGAAGGGAGGTTATTCCTGGCATCCTGGTCAATATTTATCCCTCAACCAAAGTCTCAAAAATAAAATTGGTTGGTCATTATCACAGTGCTGTTTGAGGGAGCCTGATGTGTCCCACATTGTTTCCGACATTACGACAACAACGCTACCTCTCAAGTACTTCATTGGCCGTGATGACCTTTGCAAAGTCCAGTGGTGATGCTAAGCGCCAGATAAATGCAAATCTTTCTGTTCTTATTCAGTCCACATTTTATCATTAAGCTAGTTGATTCAAAGAGCTTTAGCACTTGGCTCTTCTCCCCTTTTTAAATGCTGCCACGCCGTTAAGACTCAAATTCAAACAGAACAAAAAATCTGCAGAAGGTACTTGGTCACTGAGACCGAATGAGGCAACTGATGCTGTGCATTGGCTTATTATCCACTTTGAAAAAAGTTTTCCAAAGATCTCTACTCTGAATGGTCAAGGTCATCGACAGCATCAATTGTTCTAAACGGTGGCATTTGAGAATTTAACAACAACAAACCTGATTATAAGAACAATGTGCAGTAGGTTATACTGCACCACAAATTGGCAAAACCGTACTGTTTCCCACCCTCAATATAACTTAGGATTCAGCAAGGAGTCCTAAGTTTTTTTTCATACTGCTTCACACGAAGGAAGCATTCGTGGGTGTGGATAGGAGAGTCAATATAAAAGAGCGTAATGTAGGCCTTTTAGAAGGATGGAAGAAAACTGATTTGATTGAATTGTAGGTATCAAGGACAAAAGATGATGATTGCAACAAATTATTCCTAGTGGTTTAAGAGTCTACGACTGGAGCCAGGAGCCACAGCTCAAAACTTAGAGCAAAATCAGGAAACATTTTGACAAAACCAAACAAAAAAAAGAATGTTGTACAGGCTCCTCAGTATCCAAGGGCCCAAACACACCTTCCAGCTGAAGCAGCATTTTACCTGCACAATATTCGCTGCTCACAATGTGGCCTCCTCGACATTGGGGAAACGACCGCTTCACAGACCACCTCACATTCTGTCTGCAAAAATGACCCCGGGTTTTCGGTTGCTTGCCACTCCAACACAACAGTTTTCCTCGGTCATTTCTCTATCTCCAGTGCTCCAGCAGAGATCAGCGCAAGCTGGAAGAACAGCATCTCATTTTCCGCTTGGGGAGCCTGCAGCCCTCCGGACTCAATACCGAGTTTAACAATTTTCGGGCCTGCGGCACCTTATCCCTTACCCCAACCCCCAAACAACAGGCCACACATGGCCTGCTATTACACACAATCCATTGTTAGCCACAAATAGTCCCCACGAGCAGCCATTCATTCTTCTAGGGTGATCGTCATCCACTCCTTTGTCTGTCCAACTGTTCTTCTCTCTTTGGCTCTATGTCTACCTATCACTTACTCCTTAGCCCCTCTGATGGTCTGAGCCAATTTTGAGCCTCCCTGGACCCCATGGAATATTAGCCACAAAACTGGAACTATTTCTCACCCACAATTAATTGAACTGACAAAATTTTCAAAAAAACAGCCATCTTTTGGATGAGACCACCAACAGTGGCCAAACTGGTCAGATCAAGCGAATATAAAAAGGCCCCTGGCATGACTGAAGGAAGGGCAGAGGGAAATTTCCCTCGGGTCATAGCCTATACTTACCTCGTATATTTACTGCTCAAAATCAGCATTACCAAGTATGAGATGCCCTGGTCATTATCACACCTCTTGTTTTCCGTGTACAAAGTGGTTGACATATTTATGGCATTTCAAGTGACTACACTTCACAAATACATCATTGGCGGTGCACTGTCCTTTGGGAAATTGATCTGTTCTTTTAAAAAAAAATTGTTCATGTTTAATGTAGGAATCGCTGGCTAGGCTGGCATCCAGGGCAATAACCAGATAGCTGAAAGTCTGGAATCACACGCAGACCAGACCAGGTGAGGGTGGCGGATTTCTTTCCCTAAATTAGTGAACCAGATGGGTTCGTGAAATTGAATCGACAATGGTCGCCATTAGCTCAGTTCTTTATCCTACACTTGACCAAACTCAGATTTCACCATCTGCCACTGGGGTCTGGATTATCAGTTCAGTGACATTATCACCATGCCATGGAAAGTCCAATATGTAAACACACCGTAGATTCATAGAAACGTACAGCATGGAAACAGACCCTTCGGTCCAAACTTGCACCACTTTCTTTTTAAGTGAGTGTTGTTCAACAGCTTTGACAAAATAGGAGTAGACCACCGAAATTCTAGCAATCCCGGTCACCGAACCGCGCACACCGCCTGGTGGTAGGTTACTCACATGCTGGGAGCAGGGCTTGCCACCTGGCGGGAAAGCAACCGGAAAATGCAACCCTCGATGAGGTGGAATCATTTTCTTCTTCTTTAAAATGGTATTCAACCAATGAGCGGTGATGCATCGCTTTCCTTCTCTCAGAGCCTAGCAACAGAAGGACAACATAAAAACTTTCAGCAGGCGGAAGCGTTAAGAAAACAATGGTCCAAGAACCATCCCATTGAAATATTGCCAACAGGACGTACAAGACAATTTAAAAAAAAAATCATAATTATGTGGGTACTGTGAGCTAGGGTTCAACACAGCGCCTCAATGCTGCACTTGGATTTCAAAGCACACTCCGAGGGGTAGAAGTGGGTTTTCAGTGTCAGCATGTTGATGAATCTCAGACCAACGGTGTTGATGAGGAACTCAAGACGGTTCACTCGCACAGGAATGGGCCCAACTCTTACATTTACAAACTGAACTTGCATATCAATGTGAAGTATATCACAATCTAAAGCACATCGTTGGCTCCTCTTGGCTGAAGGAAATTTCTAAGAAATCCCAAAAGAATACTGTTTTTGTACAGAGGGCAGGGGGTGGAAAGAAGGGAAAATAAATCGTCAGTTAGGAAAATGTTATATTGAACAGCGTGCAGCAACTGCATACCCTATTCATGTCTATATGTAGTTGACTATATGCTGTTCCTTCTTTCCAACCTTGTTTTAAGTTCTGCTTAAGTTAATTGGCCTAATTAAACTATTTGCACCAAATTCCTATTTTCCATTTGATGTTCCTTCATTAAAATTATTGAATACTTCTGTTCACAGTGCAAAATAACAATCACTGGGCTGTATCGGTATTCATTTAAGTTAAAAACGGTTCAAAAGTGAAAAGGAGATAGCAAGTACTGCAGATGCTAGAGTCAGAGATAACACAGTGTGGAACTGGAGGAACACAGCAGGTCAGGCAGCATCAGAGGAGCAAGAAAGTTGACATTTCGGGTCAGAACTGAAGAAGGGTCTTGATCCGAAACGTCAACTTTCCTGCTCCTCTGATGCTGCCTGACCTGCTGTGTTCTTCCAGCTCCACACTGCTATTTCAAAATTGAAAATACATTTTACAGTAACTGCTCAAAAAGGTACATGTATTAAAAGGTAAAGTCGCCATATCCCCAGAGAACCACAGGGCTGCTCTCTCATTGCAGAGGTAACTGGTGGCAAGTTTAACACCTCAGGCAAACGAGAAGATGGGGCCTTCACAGCGACCTCAGACAGCAGAGGAATTGAGCCCATACTGTTGGCATCACTCTGTGCTGCAAACCAGCCATCCAGCCAACTGAGCTCACTGAGCTCCAAGGTCAGTGTAAACTTTCTCAAATGTGCAGAGAACATTAATGAGTGCTCAGGCATGATGGAACTAACACATCACATCTGCACCTCACGCAAAGGTGAGGGCTGCATGTTTTATTTGACAAAGAAAACTGTGCAAAGGTCGTTAAAGGATGAATAACACTGATTGGGCGGTGGGGAAAGAGCGCGAGAGAACAGTGACATTAATGAGTGGAATCGGAGGGTATGCGCTGAAAGGAATTAAAGGGGAACAAGAGAACGCTTCATAGTACAGAGTGACTCACTCAAACCAACTGCTTCAAATTCTGAAGGGATGCCTTCTATCATTGCAACTGGTGTGATCAATTCTCTCAAGAGTACAGAACTAACTAATGAGTCACAGTCAGGAGTCAAGTATGTTCTTTTCTTGAGTGCTTCCGTTTCAGCATTGATTGAGGCTCACCAGGGATCAAACAGAAAAGGTTAATTACATCCCAGAAAGGTTACCAAGTATCCCAAAATAATGAGATCAGACAGAACACTGTTGATAATAAATGGGAGCGTAACATTCATGTTTACTCTTATTGCGTTCCTTGGTAAACACTGTCAGTGTTTGCAGCTTTTTTGCCCAGAAGCACCTCAGCTTGGGTGGGTCACAGAAGTTTACAAAGACACCAGCCTATGCGGGACAAACAGTCTACGTTTCACACAAGCTTCCTGCCATCTTGCTTCGTCTCACTCTATCCACATATCTGTCTCTTCCTTTCTCCCTCCTGTATTTACTCGAACTGCATCTGTGCTCATCACCTTCATTGATTCACATGATGAAGGGGAGGGCTTCCCATTCAGAGTAAACAAAATTCTCTCAAATTCCTTACTGGATTCGTGAATGATTGATTAATAATTTTATCAGGTGTAGTGGTGGACTCTCACTCCCAAATCACATTTGCTTCACGCTACCAGGATCAAAAATTACATTTTTTATTCTGCTTACTCTTACAGAGTGTGCACTATCCCACAACTATGGGCAAACTGCTTTAAGAATGTAAGAACTGGGAGCAGGAGTAGGCAATTCCGCCCCTCGAGCCTGCTCTGCTATTTAATATAATCACGGCTGATCTCATCTCAGCATCAACACAACTTTCCTGCCCATTCCCCACAACCCTTCAACCTTTCAGAATTCCCCCTGAGGTTATTTGCCAAATAGAATCTTCTATGCCCTGCCTCGACAAGGTCTGCTGGTTTTCCAGTTAATGCACATTGATCAATCCTATTCACTTTGCTTCCCAAACTTAAAGATCAGTGATTTCCACTTCCATCCACCCAGCTAATGGCTTTATGAAACCAACTGTAATCAGATGCCCATGAAGAAAACCAACATGGGAAGGATCATTAAAAATAATCAATGTTCTTTGGGGTCACCCAAGGATGGAAACTCATGTATGTATTTCTCCATTTTAAATAGAGTCAGACAGCATGGAATCAGACCCTTCAGACCAACCAGTCCATGCTGACCACAATCCCAAACTAATCTGGTCCCACCCATCTGCATTTGGCCCATATCCCTCTAAACCTTTCCTATTCATTTATTATCCATATGTCTATTAAATATCATAACAGTACCTGCATCCACCACTTCCTATAGAAATGTTTTTCTTTATTTTTTCTATATTTATTTTTCTTTATTTACAATGATTGTACCCAGGTACTCTGTACCTAAGACGATGCCGTGTCTTGGTGGCATTTTTACACTGTAACTGATCTTGTAAGTGAAGAAGCTGTACCTGGGTACTTCTATATCTAAAATAGAGATAGTAGGAACTGCCGATGCTGGAGAATCTGAGATAACAAAGGTGTAGAGCTGGATGATCAGGTCGCCTCTCAACCTCCTACACTCCAGTGAAAAAAGTCCCAGCCATCCAGCCTTTCCTTATAGCTCAAACCTTCCATACTCAGCAACATCCTGGTAAATCTTTTCCGAACCCTCTCCAGCTTGATAACAGCCTTCCTGTAACTCGGCGACCAGAATTGTACACAGTATTCCAGAAGAGGCCTCACCAATGTCCCATACAACCTCAAAATGACTTCCCAACTCCTATACTCAAAGGACTCAGCAATGAAAGGCAAGCGTGGGCCCCACTTACCAACCGCTAAGAAACAAATCCGGAACTGATGTCACCTACCCCAGCAAACCAAGACACACAAACAACAAGTGGGTCAGAATACTGATGATTCACTGGAAGTGCACTGATGATGTCATCTAGTAACATCATCTGCAAATAAAAGTTCCAGCTCAGCGAGCAAGTCAACAACTGAAGGCAAGCGTGCCAAAAGCCTTTTTAACCACCCTTCAAAGAATTATGTACCTGCACCTATCGGTCCCTCTGTTCTACAACACTACCCAAGGCCCTACCATTAATTGTATAAGCCCTACCCTTGTTTGTTGGACCAAAATGCAATACCTCGCCTTTATCCAGATTGAATTCCATCTGCCATTTATCAGCCCATTGATCCATTTGATCCAGATCCTTTTGTTATCTTAGAAAACCTTCTTCACTGTCTACTGTGCCAACAATTTTGTTGTTGCCCACAAACTTACTAATCATGCCTCTAAAGTCTCATCCAAATTGTTTATATAAATGACAAACAAAAAGGCCCAGAACCGATTCCTGCAGAACACTGCTGGTCACAGGCCTTCAGTCTGAAAAGCACCCTCCACCATTACCCTGTCTCCTTCCATTAAGCCAATTATGTATCCAATTGGCAAGCTCACCCCGAATCCCATGTGACCTAACTTTACTTATTAGTCTACCATGTGGAACCTTGTCAAAGGCTTTTGCTAAAATCCAAATAAACAATGTCTACTGCTCTGCCATCATCAATCTTTTTGGTAACTTCCTCAAAAAACTCAATCAAGTTTGTGAGATGCGATTTTCCTTGCACAAAACCATGCTGACTATCCCTAATCAATTTTTCCTTCTCGAAATGTCCATAAATCCTAACTTTTATAATCATGTCTAACAATTTACCCACAACCAAGAGCCAGACTCACATAGTTCCCTGGTGTTTCCTTACAAACTTTCTTAAACAACGGTACAACATTAGCCACCCTCCAGTTGTCAGGCACCTCACCTGTAGTTATAAATGAATCAAATATTTCTGCAAGGGGTCTTGTAAGGTCCTCCCTTACTTCCCACAACATTCTGGGATACATTAGATCAGATCCCAGAGATTTATCCACCAAAGATCCTTTAACAGCACCTGCCAAACCCACAACCACTTCCATCTGGATGGACAAAGGCAGCAGATGTATGGGAATGCCACCACCTGCAAGTCCCTCTCCAAACCACTCACCATCCTGACTTGGAAATATATCGCCGTTCCTTCACTGTCGCTGGGTCAAAATCCCGGAACATTCTCCCCAAGTGCATTGTGGGTCAACTCACAGCAGATGAACTGCAGCAGTTCAAAAAGGCAGCTCACCACCACCTTCTCAAGGGCAACTCGGGATGGACAATAAATACTGGTCTATCGGTCCATGAAAATAAAAAAAAAAGTCTTGCTTCAGTTGTATAGGAGTTTGGTCAGAGCACATTTGCAGTACTGTGTGTAGTTTTGGTCCAAGTACATGAGGAAGGATATTATTGCCATCGAGGGGGTGCAGAAAATGTTCACCAGACTTGTTCCCAGAGTGGTGGGACTGTCCCAAAAGGAGAAATTTGGGAAGCTGGGCCTGCATTCTCTTTCACTCGGAACATGCCTACTTAGCTTTATATCCTCTTATGATCTTGACAACTGCAAGTATCGCTTACAAGCCAGGGTTCTAAAACAATGCTTCACAGGCTCGAATGCAAAGGGTTATTCAACGACTTCTTGCAAACTGGAACTCACTACTTCTGTGGAATTTTTGCAGATTTGCTGCAACTGAACAGCCTGCCACGGCACAGCTTCTGTTTACTCTGAAAACGAAGCTGGCAAAGAAAATAAAACAAAATGAATCGAGTTTTAATGCTTCGTCTTCCCACTTCCTACTCAACTATTCTTGCGGTCAACGTGCAAGTCCCTCGAACCATGACTCTCACGAAGCAGTTTAGTCACCAGCAGTAAGCCAAGGGACCCCTGAAACACAGCAACAATCCCAAGGGAGTTCTTACAAAGCTTTAGGATTTGAGCTGTTTCTAACGTGCTTGCACACAGGGGTCACTATCCTGTGGGGGGAGTGGTCACAGTGCTATTCAGTTCTGGTGCATCAACCATGTTTGGAAAGCTACGAGCCAGATTACACAATTAATTTAGCGGACACATTGAAAGCCTTGTGACACAGCCTCTGCAGAACAAAGTGGACAGATCCTCTGAGTAATTGTAGAGCTGACCTACACTGCAATTTGTCTAATGAAGTACTGAACTGGTTTTGTGCATGACCATTCCTGAACACAGGAGGTGCAGCATCAGCTAACCTCCAATTTTTCAGTGGCACTGACCAGTTCGGTGCTGACTCATGGCCATTTGACCTGCATCTGCGAGCAACAGATTTTGAGATTAGTCAGACTACCGTCATGCTTGGGTCATGTAGCAACCCTTAACCCCCAGCAGACCGGGTTAGACTGACAATTCTCAGTACTTTCAAGCCTTCCTTTCCAGATTCAGTTGGCCTAACCCATTGGAGTGAGGGCGCCCAATTCTTGTCAACTTGTTGACAATGTGCTATCCAGCACGGAGAACTGTTTATGGCTTACCGTCCTTGAATGCATTGCAGCTTGGGTATTGCCGGCAAATTTTTGTCAAAGACCACTGCAGGCCACTGTGGTCCCAATCACTACCCTGCTATAAGGCTACGATTGACTGGCACTGATCTGTCCTTCAGATTTCCAGTGCGATTACCTCCTCAGAATGAAGGAGGAGCCACGGAAAACCTTTTGGAAGTTTGCAATCTGGTCAGTCAGAGCCTCTAATGGCCACTGGATATCAGATCTAGATTTTCTGGTCACGTGTACTCAAATACAGAAGTAGGGTGTATGGTGAAAAGTCTACAATGTCACTACACATGGCTACCTAGTCACAAAAATCTTAACAGGTACAAAGTAGTAAAAGAGAGAGAAATAAAGTTAAGCATTACAGACAATTATACTATAAGTAGAGGAATAAAGAAATAAATGTAATAGTTAAACGTTTAAGTGCTTCTTAATGCAAACTAAGAAAACAAAGAAATAAAGTTAAAAGTTCAATAGTCTTTCTTGAGTGTTTAGCTATAACGGGGCCCCAAACTTCTCTGGGAGACCTCAGCTGTCTGTTCTCACAGGACGCTGAATACCCGAAACTTCATATGGACGCTGAATACCCGAAACTTCATAACCAGTCTCTGTTTCTTTCACACAGACAAGTTTCAACCCTCTGCACATTTCCAGCCTTTTGCTTTCACGTTAGACTTGTGCTTTTGTTTATTTCGGTCCAAAACCATGTCGCAACTAAAAATGAAAATAGTGTTGGCAGTGGATTGGACGGAGAGCAGAGCTGATGGCCAACATCGCCTCCTCGGTCTGCAATAGTTACCGCAGACAGGCCAAGGGAATAAATACTCAACTGAAAAGACAATGACCAAGTTTGCACACACAACTTCATAGGGAACACGCCGGCAGATAAAGCCGTAAAGAAAGGCCAATGAATTCGGGGCTTTATAAATAGCTGATTAACATACAAGAATAAAAGGACAAATTACACACATGTAAACCACGGGTTGTGTCACAGTTACAATACTGTGCATCGTCTGAAGCAACTCACTATGGAAGAAATTAGAAAGCCAGAACAAACATACAACTTAGTACCATTGGAACAGGAAACTATAGTTATTGGTAGGAATGAGACAGACCATTTCTGTTGAAGCACAGAAACCCAAGAGAAAATTTAATGGAGGCTTTGAAAATTATGAAGCCTTTTCAGAGCGTGAATACAAAAAGATGACTGTCTTTGGTCGACAGGCTGTCGTTAGGTTATGAGTAAATAATCAGAAGGTAATTGTACTCTCCCTTTACATCGAGCGTTATACATAGGTGGAAAACGTTTTGCTTTAAGAATTGGTTGACACAGGGAGAATTTGAAAAGAGAATAAGCACAAAGCAAGCAGGATTAGTTTTGAATGACAGTAAAATGTCAGAGATGCAATATGTCAAGTACTCTTCTATGCAGTGAAATGCCATGGCTCTTCACTCAATTAAGAGGGAAAGGAAGACCTGTGGTTTATTTATTCACTCTGCTCGAGAGACAGAACACTTCATTTGTATATTGTAGAATATAGCTGTTAGGGATAAAGGGATCAAAGGGTATGGGGCGAAAACTGGAAAAGGGTACAGAGTCAGATAAGCAGGCTCAAAGGGCCCAATGGCCTATTCTTGCCCCTATTTTCTACAGGTTATCATAGGATATTAGGTTTAGATTGTATTGTCATGTGTACCCAAGTACAGAAGTACAGGGGAACAGTGAAAAGTGTACAATGTCGCCACGCACATCTTAGGTACAAAGGTATCTAGGTAAAAAAACTGAGGCACAAAGTAGTAAAAGACAGAAGCAAAGTATAAAAAGTTACGCATTACAGACTATTAGCGTAGAAAAATAAAGAAATCATAGTTAACAAAAGTACTTCTTAATATAAACTAAGAAAATAAAGTTAGAAGCCGTTCTTGAGTGCTTAGCCATAATAGAGTCCCAATCTCCTCCACTCAGCTCGCTATCTGGGAGACCTCAGCTGCATGTTCTCAACGCCGCTGCCATAGATACCAGGGGTGGGGGTGGGGGGGGTGGTCCTCCTGCACAGCTCGCTCTTCCCTCTTTGGGCTTGACTCCGCACGACATAATCCATGCTCCAGACCCAGCGGATATGATCGATTCCTCAAATCCCAAATACCTCCCCTAAATGCTCCCTCACTTCAGATCCATGATAACATTCGAACTAAAGTCAAAACTCTAGAATGAGACTCAAGTTACGGGTCATGGCTGACCCAGCAGTAGGTTTTAAAACTATTAAATGGCACGAGTTGATATTCTGTACATCAAAAGCCAAAAAGAAACTGGAGCAGGGGAAACAAGAGTAGGCCATTCAGCCCCTCTTCCATCACATTGCCTGTACTGGCTTTCCATGGCCTTAAGCTGCGAGAGATTAAAATATAGCCACTAACAGCAGCACAGAGCTAATACAACTGGGAACAATATGCATTGATATGCAAATAGAGAACATTGTAAGGATGATACGTTCCTATTATTTTACTCTCAATCGTAAACATCGAGGGAAATACCAGAGGCAGAGTGTTACGTAGGACTGTTTTAATCCACGCACAAAAATATCATCTTTCCATCTCAAATTACATTTCACAGAATCAGAGATTGCACATAATACAGTTTACTAAACAGATTAGTGAGCAGCAATGAACCATCAATAGAAGCTGTATTAAAACTAATTTTTTTTTATTAATACAATGCACAAAACAAGCTGGGAGACTGAACGAGACTGCATAATGTTTTCCCAAAACTATCTTGATGACATGCATGCAAGGAAGGGAAAGGAAACGAAACGAAATGTGTGCGCTTACCTGGGTGTACATATTGCTGACCTGACTTTCACACAGGAGGTGCGTGCATCTGTTGGTCAGGGTGGGATCTACAATTCCACCGTGGGCTTGGATAATCTGGACAATGACATAAAAACACACTTAGAAAATCATTTATACACCATATGAATCTTTACTACAACTATAATCAGAAGACTTTCCTAAAGTTAAACCATGTCATCAGGTCACATTGTTTGCAAGCTTTGGATTAAACTGCATTACCCCCCAAATATTTACTCATTTTAAGAAATTTACCAGTTTAATTTTTGCCATATATTTAATGCACCACAGCACAGCTGAGATGGAATGTAGAACTCCTAATGACTAAAATCAGCTAGTTCAGTGCAGATCAAGAACTGAATGGATTTACTTCTGGTTCCATATCTTTCAGTGATGCACACAGAACACGAGATGAGACAGGGAGGCAATTTGACTAAACTGTGTAGATTCGCTTTTTAAAACAGACATTATCTGTCTAGTGGTCTCAGACATTTGCCTGGACTCTCTCTCCCTACCTGGAAGAGCACTGCACAGGACAGTCATGGTTAACTTGGTCGTACTTCTGTTTGAAACAGAAGAATGTGGATTCAAGTCCCAGTTCAGGGTCCCGAAGGTATAATCCAGGTTCACACTCCCGGTGTGGTACTGAAGCATTAAGGGAAGCAACTTTCCAGAAAAGGCATGATGTCTATACCGTTGGCTGCTTTGACAAGTGGATCTAAAATATCTCACTGCTCTTTTTAAGGCAGAGACAGTAGTTACCTCTGTCTGGGCCAATGTTTATCTCTCAACCAAAAATCACAGAGGCAGGCTATTCAACCCATCCAGTGTTCTGTTACACCAATGAGATCATGGCTGACCTGAAAAATCTCAACTCCACCAAAATCCTTGATTCTTGTTACGGATTAAAAAAACTTCTCTCAGCCTTGACTTTATTTAAACAACCCAGCCACGACAGCCTCTGCAGTAATGAATTCTGTATATTCATTGCTCTCAAAATATTCCTCCTCATTTCTGCCTCAAATATGCAACTCCTTACCCTGGGATAATGCAATCTACACTCCCCGGCAACCTGTCAGTACCTACCAGGTCAATGTCCCTAAAAAGCTTCTACTTCAATAAGGTCGCCTCTCGTTGTTCTCAACTGCAATGAGTACAAGGCCAAACTACTCGACTTATTTTCAAAGTCCTTCCAGACCCAGGCTTTTGCAAAAACTATAAAAGCATTCATGAGACTATATCGGAAACACTGTCAACAGTTTTGGGTCCCTTATCTAAGGAAAGATATACTAGCATCCAAGGAAGTCATAGAATCGTACAGCATAGAAACAGACCCTTCAGTCCAACCAGTCCACACTATGTTCCATGTTACCAAATTAAATTAGTCCCATTTGCCTCCGCTTGGTCCATATCCCTGTAAATCTCTCTCATTCATGTACTTATCCAAACATCTTTTAAATGTTGTAAATGTACTTGCATCCACCATTTCATCAGACAGTTCATTCCACACATGAACCAGCCTCAGTGTGAAAAAGTTGCCTCTCAGGTCTCTCTCAAATCTTTCTCCTCTCACCTTAAAAATATGCCTTCTAGTTTTGAACTCCCCCAGCAAGGGGAAAGGCATTTGCTATTTACCTTACCTACATCCCTCATGATTTTATAAACCTCCATAAAGGTCACCCCTCAACCTCCTACGCTCCAGTGAAAACAGTCCCTACCTCTCCTTGGAACTCAAACCCTCCAATCCTGGCAACATCCTGGTAAATCTTTTCTGAACCCTCTCCAATTTAACAATATCCTTCCCATAGCAGGGCAAGCAGAACTATACACAGTACTCCAAAAGTAGCCTCAACAGAACGCCCCAACTCCTAGACTCAAAGGTCTGAGCAATGAAGGCAACCGTGTTAAACACCTTCTTAACCACCCTATCTGCCTGTGGCACAAAACTGAAAGAACTATGTACTTGAACCTGTAGGTGTCCTTGTTCAACAACACTCCCCGGGGCTCTACCATCAACCGTGCAAGTCCTGCCCTTGTCCGTCTTCTAAAAATCACCTGGGATTTTTCCAGAATCTAAAGGTTCTGACAAGATTACATTCACTACCTCTGTCGCTACTTTGTTTAAAACCTTAGGATGCAGCCCTCCAGACTAAGGGACGTTTCAGCCTTTCATTCCATTAATTTCCCTAGTTCTTGTTTTCTAGTGATAGTTTATATTTATTTTGTCCCCCTTCCTCCTGGATGCATGGTAATTTGGGAATGCTATCGTATTCTCTGCAGTGAAGACTATTGCTTAGTTCTTCTGCCATTTCCTGGCTCCCCGTTATTACTTCCTCAGACACTTTAAGGAGCCTATGCTCACAGTTGTCCCCCCACCCCCTGCTCTCCTTTTTTTTCCTATTTAAAGAAGGTCTTACTGCCTGTTGTTATGATACTTGCGAGATTGCACTCATGGCTTAACTTCACCACCTTTTTTCTGTCATCTTCTGTTGGTTTTACCACTAGTCCTTGCCAAACTGCTATTCAGAATAGGTACCCCACAACAATATGGTGTGGATCCAAATAGGCCATTTCGGATCCAGTAATGTGTCATGAGGCAGGCTTAATAGATGATCTTAGAAGAAAAAGATCTACTAAGGAACAGTCATCATAATATGATAGAATTTAGCATTTGTTTGAGAAGTGGGTTGGAAACACCTGTTACTAAAATTAAATAAGTTGTTGCCAAACTGCATGCTTTTTCTTTCAATGTGATACTATTTTGACTTTCCAGGTTGCCATTGTTGATTTATCCTCTTCCTAGTATCCTTCTTCCTCACTGGGATATTTGTTTGCTGTGAGCTGTGAAGTTTTTTTTTCCTAAATGTCTGTCATTGTTCCTCCATCGTCTCTTCTGTAAAACGTTTTCTGGTCCAGGCCACTCCAGAGAGCCCTGCCCTCATTCCCATGTCATTATGCCTATTTAAGTTTAGTAAAAAGTAAATTGTCTGGTCATTACAACATTCCTAATTGTGGGATCTTACAAATACAATGACTAGTCTCAAACTAAACTCCATTGGTTCGAAAGACATCCCAGGGTCAAACCTAAATTCCTTTTTAGAACATAAGAACATAAGAACTAGGAGCAGGAGTAGACCATCTGGCCCCTCGAGCCTGCCCCGCCATTTAATAAGATCATGGCTGATCTTTGAGACTCAGCTCCACTTACCCGCCCACTCACCATAACCCTTAATTCCTTTACTGTTCAAAAACTTATCTAGCCTTGCCTTAAACACATTCAGTGAGGTAGCTTCAACCGCTTCACTGGGCAGGGAATTCCACAGATTCACAACCCTTTGGGTGAAGAAGTTCCTCCTGACCTCAGTCCTACATCTGCTTCCCTTTATTTTGAGGCGATGCCCTTTTCACAAAGTTTAATCAATATTTCCTTGTCCTAGGAATCCTCAAGCAACATTGCAGAATAGAATTGGAATTAGATTTTATTGTCACGTGTATTAAAGTACAGAACTACAGGAGTACAGTGAAAAGTGTACAAAGTTGTCATTGCTGTGCCATTCTTAGGTACAAAATCTTAGACACAAAACAAAAAATACTAAAGAAATACAATTTAAAAAGTTCAGCATCACATTCCTCCTACAGCCATGGGCCTGCAGTCACTCCACGTTGGGCATTCCCCATGAGGACAGACTCACCTCCACAATGGGCCTACACACCCCACAAAGGCACGCTCTCCACTATGCTGGGCTAAGTCTCTCATGGCTGACCACCATCCGGACTCGCTATCAGCTTCGCTTACTGCACTGCTTCAATATCCTAGTTTAAATTTATTCTCGCAGACACTGCCTTTCAAGGATCAAGTGCTTAGCTTTTCCAGTCCTTCCTCTTAGTCAATTGCAGACGATTTTACTCTGATCCAATGATAAATTACACAGAATGTAACGAACATAAACGAGCCATTCTTCAGCCCAACAAGCCTGTGCCAGTGATTATACTCCATATTAGCCCCCTCCCACACCTCTGCAGCCAACACTGTCAACTATATACATCAGAATGACCAAAAGGCCACACAGTGATCACTGCCAATGCAGACTCCCTGCCTTTCCTCTTGACTTGACAATTCTTCTTCTTCAGATCATTGACCATTTCCCTTTTCAGACCCACAGTTGAATCTGTCTCCACCACATGAACAAAAGATCTAGGAGCAGAAGCAGCACATTTGACACCTTGAGCTCACTTCACCATGTAATAAGATCAAAGCTTATCTGACTGTGGTCTCAGCTACACTTTCCCATCTGACTCCCATATGCCTGGACTCCCGTATTAATCAAAACTCTAATTCACTCAGACTCCATTAGGTTCTGGGGAAGAGAATTCCAAACTCTAACGATCCTCAGAGAAATAATTTATTCCCCCATTTTTAAGATGGCGACTCCTTATTCTTGAATTATATCTCCTCGTTTTAGTCTTACAACAGGAAATGTCTTCCAAATATTGAGCCTATCCAGACTCCTTCAGAATCCTATACATTACCTGGAACAAGTAGCTGATTGATACAAAAACAGAAGTTGCTGGAAAAGCTCAGCAGGTCTTGCAGCATCTGTGAAGAGAAATCAGAGTTAACGTTCGGGTCCAGTGACCCTTCCTCAGGACTGATGGTAGGGAGGAAAATGTCAGTTTACATGCAGTAGATAGGATGGGGGGAGGGGATAATGAGTAAACAATAGTTGGGCATAGAGCACAAAGAGACGGAGAAGAACAGTTGGACAGATAAAGGAGTGGATAATGATCTGGCTAAGAGGGTGAATAGCTGTTAACAGAGACTGTTAGTGGTTAACAATGGGTAGTGTGTAATCATAAACTATGTGATAACAAGGCCTGGTGGGTGGGGTAGGGGGCTAGGACATGGGAGGGTTTAGGCCATAAAATTATTGAACTTGGTATTGAGCCCAGAGGGCTGCAGGTTCCCCAAGCGGAAAATGAGGTATTGTTCCTCCAGCTTGCGTTGGGCTTTGCTGGAACACTGCAGCAAGCCAGAGTCAGAGATGTTGGCCAGGGAGCAGGATGGTGTGTTAAAGTGGCAGGCAGCTGGAAGCTCAGGGTCTTTTTTGCGAGCAGAATGTAAATGTTCTGAAGCGATCACCTAGTCTATAGTTTGTTTCCCCAATGTAGAGGAGACCACATTGTCAGCAGCGAATGCAGTAGACTAGATTGTGAGAAGTGCAGATAAAGCGCTGTTTCGCCTGGAAAGTATGTTTGGGCCCTTGGATACTGAGGAGGGAGGAGGTAAGTAGAAAGGTGTTAAGCTTTCAGCGGTTGCAGGGGAAGGTGCTGTTGGGGGGGTGGGTGTTGGGGGTGACGGAAGTGTGGACCACGGTGTCCCAGAGAGAATGGTCCCTGCAGAAGACGGACAAGGGAAGGGGAGGGGAGTCTGGTGATGGCATCTTGCTGGAGATGGTGGAAATGGAGTCTGATGATCTTCTGGATGTGGATGCTGGTGGGATTGCAGGTAAGGACGAGGGAGCCCTATTGCAGTTGCAGGAGGGAACAGAGTGGGTGAGGGTGGAAGTGCGGGAGATGGGCCGGACACGGTTGAGGGTCCTGTCAACAACGGAGCTGGGGAATCCTCGGTGGAGGAAGAAGGTGGACATTTCGGAGGTTCCCTTGTCGAAGTTGGCCTTATTGGAACATATATGATGATTAGTCAGTGGACTAGTGACCAGTCATCAATGACAAAGGCCTTCTGTCTGCCAACAATGATGTGTTTGAGTGGCACAGTGGCAAGTACTACTGCCTCACAGAACCAGGGACCCGGGTTCGATTCCACCCTCAGACGACTGTCTGTGTGGAGTTTGCACATTCTCCCCGTGTCTGCATGGGTTTCCTCCCTCTGTGTGCTCCAGTTTCCATCCACAGTCCAAAGATGTGCAGGTTAGGTGGATTGGCCATGGGAAATGCAGGGTTACAGGCACAGGGTAGGGGAGTGGGTCTGGGTGGGATGCTCTACGAAGGGTTGGTGTAGATTTGATAGGCTAATGGCCTGCTTCCATACTGTAGGGATTCTATGATTACAACAAAATGACCTCACATTCTTCTCAGCCCCAGTAAATCAATGTTTAACCTGTTGCACACTTCTTGGTAAGAGGAGTCCTTCATCCTAGGAATGAGTGGAGTCAGCACTTACTGAAGGTTTCTCAAACTCCTTTCTCCTCATGTCCTTAGCTGGCTTCCCTCAAAAAGGCATCTATACCATTCTGGTGAGTGACTCAGTGCAATAACAAGCTTGCCATTCCAACCCAGGTCTGTGTAAACATGTCTCCTTTGAATGCCCCATTAAATCCAATAGTGGCCTACTTGCATTAGGATCCCTTACCCCTCTTGTTCTGGATCTCTTCAACACCCCTCAAAATAAGTGGAAGCATCAACAAAATTAAAACATCGCACCGGTTATCCTCAGCAGAGCTGCAAATCCACAATCCAATTTTGTCACCTAGCAATGCATGAGTTATTACCTTTTTCCAAGTTGCCAACAGTTGTTTATCTGACATTTGCTCAGGGTAGTCAGCAATTGCAAAAACGCAACCCAATAAAAAGGACTCTTCTGGGACTGAAAAGAAAAAAAAGAGGAAGGAAACTGAGCAATTAATAATTGCAATTATACAATTCACGACTACGCAGATGTGCTGACATGTTCAGATGCATTACTGAATATAAATAGAGTGCCTAAAAATATTTCAGAATTGTAGTTTGTTCCCACACGATTAATCCTATGTGGTCCCTTAATCTGATTTTACAGCAATCTGTGTCAGAAAGGAATCCAACCCCCTCCTGCAGCTGCACACTTTATACATACACAAATTAACATCTATATTGCACCTTTATCGTTATCAAACATCCTAAAGCACTTTCACAAGAGCATCATAAACCAACATCTGACACAGAGGAATAAAGAAATATTAGGGCAGACGGCCAGAAGCTAGGCAAAGACGTTGGTTTTAAGGAGCATCTTAAAAAGGAACAGAGACAGGGATTTCAAGAGAGAACTCCAGAGTTTCGGGTTTTAGCAGCTGGAAATGTAGCCATCAATGGTGGAGAAATTCAAATTGCCGGAGTTATATAAACAGCTTTCTTGTAAAGTTGTGAAGATAAGAGGCATTACAGAAATAAGGACGAGGCAGACAAGATATGAAAAGCGACAAGAATTTTAAAAGAGTGGAAATGTGGGAACCAGCGTAGATCAGTGGGAAAGTTAGCTACCATCAGTTCTGAGGAAGAGTCACCGGACCCAAAACATTAACTTTGATTTCTCTTCACAGGCGCTGCCTGACCTGCTGAGCTTTTCCAGCAATTCCTGTTTTTGTTAGGTCACAGCGGTAATAGGTATAAAGAATGTGCCGGAAGACAAAGAGTGGAAAGCCTGTGTGGTCCCTAATATGATCCCGAATAGGGGAGGCGACTGCCTTCTTTATTCATTTTATTCTTTGTTCATTCACGGGATGAAGACGTCGCTGGCCAGGCAGCATTTATTACCCATCCCTCATTGCCCAGAGGGTGGTTAAGAGTCAACCACATTGCTGTGGGTCTGGAGTCTCATGTAAGCCAGACCAGGTAAGGATAGCAGTTTCCTTCCCCGAAAGACATTAGTGAACCAGATGGGTTTTAGCCGAGTGGTATTATTGCTGGACAGTTAATCCAGTGATCCAGATAACGTTCTGGAGACCTGGGTTCGAACCCTGCCACGGCAGATGATGGAATTTGAATTCAATAAATATCTGGAATTAACAATCTATGATGACCATGAATCCATTGTCGATTGTTAGAAAAACCCATCTGGTTCAATTTTCATTTCTGAAGAAGGGTCCAGACCCGAAATGTCAGCTGCTTGGCCTGCTGCGTTCATCCAGCTCTACACCTTGTTATCTCAGATTCTCCAGCATCGGCAGTTCCCACTATCTCTGGTTCACTAATGTCATTTAGGGAAGGAAACTGCCATCCTTACCTGGTCTGGCCTACATGAGACTCCAGACCCACAGCAATGTGGTTGACTCTTAACTGCCTCTGGACAATTAGGGATGGGCAATAAATGCTGCCTGGCCAGCGACGCCCTCATCCCGTGAACAAATAAATTAAAAAAAAAGCCAGTCAGGAGTAGTCACGTTTACAAATGACAGAAGCACGGGCGAAGGTTTCAAGCAGATAGACCGAGGCAGAGTCAGTATTGTGCAAGTCAACAGGAATGTGACTTCAGACACTTCTGGGTAGGTGTGGATGCGCGATCGGAAACTCTGAAGGGTCAAAGACACTAGCAAGGTCGTGATTAACTCAGTTAGCGGTGAGGAAGGCGGAGTTAGCGATCAGGGTCTGTCCAGAGGGCCGAAGACAATGGCTTTGGTCTTCTCCTTATTTTGCAGCGTTATTGGATGGGGCTTCAGAATAAACACTGACAATGCACGCAAGACTCAAATAACCATTTAATCAGAGACAGTAGGAACTGCAGATGCTGGAGAATCCGAGATAACAAGGTGTAGAGCTGGGTGAACACAGCAGGCCAAGCAGCATCAGAGGAGCAGGAAAGCTGATATTTCGGGCCTAGACCCTTCTTCAGAAAAATGAACCATTTAATAAGATCTTTCTGACACAAGCCTGTGTGTGACCAGCAATGAATGAATGTAAACTCACTGGAAAAACACAGTGGTCTCTACATCAAAAATGCTGGAGTGGGAACCACAAAACACCTAAACCTTCCACAAAACCCTTCTATATGTGTACCAATAATAGATCAGGAAACTTTCTTCGTTAGATTTTCAGACACTCCAACCAGCCATTTATAGACCATATTCTCCCATTACCTCCCAGCTGCGAATAAATGTTTAAATCGTCACCGCCTCAGGGGGTGACTGAACCCAAAAGCACCATTTTTATAGTGACTTTTTGCTTATAAATTCCTGCCTGCAAGCAAGTGGTTGCAATAATGGGTCATCCTGTTCACCGCTTAATGCAAAAATAAGACATTTTCACACAAGTGCTAACATCACATTCCTTCTGAAAAAAAAAAACAACAGATTTTCAAATTATAGAAATAAAAACCAAAGAACTGTGGATGCTGTAAATCAGAGACAAAAATAGAAAATGGAATCAGAGCCGAGGAAGGGTCACTCGACCCAAAACATTAACTCTGATCTGTCTCCACAGAGGCTGCCCAACCTGCTAAGCTTTTCCAGCAATTTCTACTTTTCTTTTCAAATTGCAGAACAGGTTTTTTAAAAAGTAGTACTGCTGTTAAGAGTTCCTGCTGCATAAATTACTGCAGTCGTTTATAATTCTTGTATTTGTCTTGACAAGTTTCAGTAACATTCTCTATTCATCAAGCTCCATACTGCTACGTGGCTATGTGCAAAACAAAAACAGCTTCAATTGTTGTGTCTTTGCAATTTTTTTTTTAAGAATTTGAATACATACTGCATAAGAACAAACTATTCAACTCAAGTGGTCTATATTTATGCTACACATAAACCACCTCACAATTCTTATTGCCTCATTTACAAAAGCAGTTTCAGTCAGTCACCACGTTGTATCATCTGTTACTGCAATGGCAAACATCAAACCTGCCAGCACTAAACAAAGACAAACATTTCAGACTTTCCCAATTCACACTTTGTTTTAAATGCCAAGGACACACACAGTCAGATTACAGTGCAGCAGGGAAAGAATGGGTGCACTTAAGTGGTGCTATTTAATTTGCATTTGTATTTGCCCCTTGACAAGCGTTTATTTCCACTTGACCTGCTCATTGAAGACCTTTAGCAGGCAGTATTTTTGTCCTGCTCTTACATCCTCTCAGGTTAATACAGGCCCTTTAAAATTAATCGAGGACCTGTCCAGGGTGAGCTCTTGCAACTGTTGATGAATAAGATTGCTCAATTAAGCAGGGAGCCAGAAGGTGATGGTCAATATGTTTAGACATGTTGTGACTAGGCAGCTACAGTAGGGGAATATTAACATTATACAGTCATTTTGTTCACAAACATTCTGGGCTTCATGGGAATAAAACTCAAACTGCCCACAGAAATAAACTTAAAACTAAAACTAAACCCCGTTAATCATCCATACATCCTGGAAAGCTAGCATCCAAATTCAGCAAATGGACTGTTGACCTTTATTTCAAATGGAATGGAATATTAAAGTAGAGGTTTTACAATAATTATACATTTTTAGCAACATTTGGCACTAACTAATCAGACCACAGCTGGAACAGAATTCATTGTGTGGAAACAGGCTGTTCAGCCCATCAAGTCCACACTGACCCTCCGAAGAAGATCCCACCCTCCTACCCTATCCCTGTAACACAGAAACTCCCATGGCTAATCCACCCAACTTACACATTACTGAACACTACGGGCAATTTAGCATGGCCAATCCACCTAGCCTGCACATCTTTGGACTGTGGGAGGAAACCAGAGCACCCAGAGGAAACCCATGCAGACACGGAGAGATTGTGCAAACTCCACACAGACAGCTGCACAACACTAGAACTGAACCCAGGTCCTTGGTGCTGAGAAGCAGCAATGCTAACCACTGAGCCACTGTGCTGCCAGTATTCACAAATACTGTGAACAGTTTTGGGCTCTTTATGTAAGAAAAGATAGACTGGCATTGGAGACAGAGAAGGTCCATTCGGCCGTTATCAGTTAGGGAGGGACTGTTACGAGGCAGGTTTGAGTGGGGTCGACCTGGAAATCTTTGCTCACTCTGCTCTGCTTTTCCCTGTATTTTTTTTCCCTCTCCTCTTTGTGGTTTTCTCTTTCTCCAGCCCCCGCCACTCCCCTGGAGAGTGGAGTTGCACAGCGGGCACAGGCAAGTCCCGCGGCAGATGGAAGACAGTACAGGCAGAGCGGCCTTGCGCTCTGGGGCCTGCAGGCACACCCCATGAGCCCCCGAACACGGCGAGCCGCGAGTCCTGGAGCAGCACATGGGAACCAGCCCCCAGAGCAGCGAGTCCCGGAACAGCACATGGGAACCAGCCCCCAGAGCAGCGCGCGGCCCCCAGAGCAGCGCGCGGGCAGCGAGTCCTGCAACAGCACATGGG